TAGGGCAGAAAGCCCAATAGTATCCTTAAATCTTGCAAGCATGTTCTCTCATTCGTTGTGGCATGGCAAAGTTCTTTGGATCCAATCCAGCTTCTTCAATAAGAACAACCACTCATGGTTCGCACCCTTGATAACACCACGTAAGCCCAGTTTTGACAGTATCGCCATGAATGTACCAATAACCACACTGCAGTATATCCCTGTAATTTGTGTCCAGTTGTCGCAGAATTGCTGATAATCGGGAACTGCTTACCCTTCATCTTGGTGTGTACAACTTCTCGTCATAAAACATCTGGTGCTGAAAGTGTAGTCTTGCTCCGTTACATAAAAAGTACGTGGCAAAATAGTCTCCATTTCATGTTCCACAAGGATAGATTGACTTGACCTGAGAAAAAAGCCCGAATCTTGCAGCCGTTGTCGAGTTGAATAAAATGGGGGTGCAACCATCCCTCACATTCACCTTTTCACAAAAAGCCGAGATCCATTGGCTTCTCCATTCGGAACATTCGTGTTCTCTGTAAACATTACAGGACACCCCTTATATAACTTCAAAGCAGGATCAACACGTTTTCGTGAGTCCGAACCGGGTTTTAACGAGTCTTCTCCACATGTGAAAAGAAGTGCTTTAAACCGAATTGCTCTTAACAGGAACCAGTGTCCCTGCTTGATTGGCCATTTGAAGATCGTCATGAAAATGAGTACTGCATCCATCAGCACGGAATCATCAGCAGGTTTGTTTCTTCCCGCAAAATTCTTCGAAGATAGCTGAGTTAATGGCATCTCGATCTCGATTCAGATAAGTAGCAACTTGAATGTTCTCTGGTGGAACATGGGTTGGGCCAACCACGCAGGCGTCATTGATGGTCTCAATATCTTCTTCTGTTGGTCGCCCTTCACGGAATCTTAAACAGCGTTGCTCTCCATTCAGGATCGTCTTTGAAGCGGTGCATTCCATCTAACTCAATAAATGAATTCAGAGAGTCATGAAATTCAGGAATGGTGTGCTGAAGATTGTAAATTGGGGGGCGTCCCACTGTTCAAGTTGAGAGTAGTCCCCCGCGAACACCAAGTTAAGTCCCCAAATGGTTGGTATTCGTCTTGCATCAAGGTTTGGTGTAGTGGAATATCTTCACTAGTCAAGTTCCCCCGCGAATAAAATTTCGTCGATGATAAGCATCCGTGCGTCACTCCATTCTTCTACCAAGTTCTTCGCCACACTTTCCCGAGTTCTGTTCAATCCCACAGCTGAATGCGTTGTTTCCCCATGCAGTATTGTAGCAGCAACCCCCGACATAGCAGTGACAACAATGGTTCGGTCGTTAAAGGATGATCAATCAAACCGCAGAATTCTTTGCCATAGGCCATGACTAAGTCAATTACGGTAGACTTCCCACTTCCTCAGGCCCATGTAGAAGAAGAATCAGTTGGGTGCCACGACTTCCCTTCAAAATCAAAAGGTTTTTACGAGAAAGTCGGACTTTTGCCTTCAACCCATATCCGGGACTCCATCCTCTAAGTCCACTTTTCAGCTTCCTCATAAATGTCAACAAGAAGGCTGCAATGATACACTCGAAAGCCCTTCTCTGTTTGTCGTCCAGATTGGCAGCCGTTGCCCAGTCACTTATACTTCTCACGCTTCCATTCGCCTGCGACACTTCAACCTGCGGATTGTACTTAAATACATTTGCCCTTTGGATGCACTCCCGTTTGTTAAGTAGAACTTCAATGATCTTGTGATATCGAGGTGTAGGCGGTTTCACTTTGCTTCTCTTGTAGTGCCAGTCGTGTGAAAGTCAGCACTTATGGTAACAAATTCGTCTTCATCTAACGAATTCTAGGAATGGGTAACTGCACGTTGTATCCTGCGTTGTCGCTTCCATTGTGACGTATAGCCGTAAAACTAAGACCATCAAATGTGCTTGCCAGAAAGTCCCGGTTTGAATCTGTTGTGCCCTGGCTCTCAAGATCACGTATCCAATCTTCGTAAACCTGGAGAAGATCAATACGATGAAATGTTCCAGCGAGAAGACGGGTTCTTGTTATAAGTATAAACGGTAGGGATATAGGGTAAATTAATCATATATAAAAACTTTTATTACTACAACTACCTTTCTGAGATTCGCATTGAACTCGTACGTCATTCAATGTCAGTCATTGAAAAAAGATCAAGCGTCCAATCAAATCACAGGCGACCCCGAAAATTAGGAGCCAACTTTTAAAATGTGAAGAACGCAAGGCGACTTTCATGTGCATGTACATGCGTTGACTGTATCCCGTCAATACAATACTAGTCGAATACGTAGACTTCTACAGGGCCTTCTAAGTAATGCGCGCCGGGTATAATTCAAACCTCTGCCCCCATCGGTACCATTACCCCTAAAGCAAATCGTCTCCAGGAGACGAAATATCAACGCTTTTAGTCCTGATGTCGTAGGTCTCATTTGAATGTCCTAGCAGGACCGTGCTTGCGTTTGCGTCAATAGCTTCGATACAGCCTGTAGCGTTAAGGATAATCGCGAAGAGATATCCTCCAGGCCATGCAACAAGATCTCAAGCATCTGCAAGGTGCAACAATGGCTGCGATCCCAGAGTCTACTGTATTCCGTAGCGCACCAATAGCTGTTCGAATTGCCGCTGTACAGTTGCTTGGGGTCGATCACTTGCCTCTTCTTCTGAGCACGCACAGTAAAGGAGTGTTGCGTACAAGTACAGTACGTAGAAGGAATTTGTTAAAGCCGAGCATTAGCACTGAACCCGCCTTGAGTTTGGACGATGCCTTGGAAAACGTTCGGCGCGAAAATCTTTGTCGGGAAAAAGATAGCTGTAGATATCTGGAATATCAAGTTCCAAGAACTTGTGGATTTCAAGGAAAAGCATGGTCATTCTAGACTTCCACAGAGCTATCCAGAGCTCGGGAAATGGGTTTCGGAACAGCGAGATATCTTCTATCAAGGGCGGCTATGTGACGAGAGATTTGAGAGATTAAAAGAACTGGGCTTCACCTGGGATGCCAGCAAGGAGTCGTCTGCTGCTGCCAACTTGAAGACTGAAGAACAGGAAGAAGGGGCAATCAGCTCAGCTCCAATGCGGCGTAGTCACACAACGGCAAGGAAGAAAAGGTCGTCATCGGCGTTGCGTCGTGATAAGGACAGAACGTCTGACAGTTCTTCTTCTTCTGAGGAGGCACCAATACAGGAGGGCAAATCAAGTGGGGTGCCCGAAAAGATGCAAGAGTGTGATGATGATGAGGAGGATAGAGACTTTTGCCAGGAACGTGTCATCGAAGATGCAGTAAATGCAGTACTGGAGGAGAAGGAAACAGAAGATGAGGAAGGGGAAGGAAGGGGGGTAGATACTGCAATGTCTGGAAAGAATGGAAATGCCAACCAAGGCAATGATATGAGTGATTCTGATGAAGAACTCTCTAATGATGAAACAACCAAGCCTCCGCCCTCCAAGAAACTCAAGCATGCTGGCACAGGGCTTCAACGACTTGAACTTCTATCTCGTAATGGGGCGACGGTAACCCGTCAAAGCAACGAAATGACACTCAACGATCTTCGTAAACAAGTCAGTGACCTCCAAGATATCGTCCAACAACAGCGGAGGACTCTCAAGCTAAAGCACAAAGTAGTCCTTGCGCAGAATGGGGTGTATAAGGACCAAGAGGACACTATAGAACGGCTCAGAGACACAGTCAAGGAGCAGTATGATGACATAAACGCAAAGGACAAAGAGCTGAAGAGTCTCAAGATGAAGCTTCAGGAGAAACGAGAACAGGACGACGCGACATCGTCGAATACCGGTACGCAGGACACCAACAATGATCGGATCCATAATGTACCTAGTCGAGGCAGGATGCTTCGGAACATCCAAGACCAAAGAATTGAACTCCTGGAGGCAGAAAAGGAGTTGCTTCAGTACGATGCAAATAATATGCAGAACAAAAACACCCATGGTGATGTACCAAGTCGAGAGCAGCTGCTGCGGAAAATCCAAGACCAAAGAATTGGTCTGCTCGAGGAAGAGAACAAACTGCTTCGCTTTGACGCGAATATGCAGAACACCCACACGGATCAGCTCAGTGGATGGGCCGAAGATGACGCCAATGAAATCTGTGCACTCCAGCGTCAAAACGAGGCTCTTCAGCGTCGGATCGAGGCTCTCGAGCGTCGGGAATGAAATGAAATGAAAGTTGACAATCTGTTTGTTTTTGCGGAGATCGTGTCGTGATTTGGGCCCGGGGGAGAACCAACTGTGGATCTTCAATCATACATTTTAGGGAAGTCTATTGTACATGTAGTATCCAGGAGCTAGATATCAATCTATCGATGCCACGGGAAGCTAGCCTGCGGATCATTTCCCTTGTGCAAACAGGAGAGGAACGGCCGTCTTCGGTCAAAAAGCGCAAACGATACTGACGTGACAAGAAACTGTAGTACTGGTTGTTACCCCGTGCTCGAAGCCCACGAAAGCAAAGGCCAACTAACAACGCTCCTCACCAGTAGCTCCCATCGTCGCAGGTGCCTTCTGGAGCTGAGACAAGCAAAAATCCTCGAGAATGCGGCGGATTCGTTCACAGCCAGAGTCCTGTCTTCGGCACCTGTCGTTGTCAAAAAGCAAAGCTTGAAGTCAAAGTCTTGGACAGAGATCCGAAGCTGTGGCTGTTGTGCAGGGAAAGCGGTTTTCAACGTCGCAGCTGAAGGAGACGCGATCAACGGCGCCCTCCTCAGCAAACCAGCCAGCCACCAAGCAGAAGCTATTGCCCTAAGACGAGCATGGATGCAGTAAAGGGCGGAACGAGTGCGGTGCATTTACGTTTCTACATCGTCGTGAATGAATCGTCCGTGAAGCTGATCAACGATTTTCAGGTCATTCATTATTTCTAAACTATTTACTTTACGTGAATCTTGATATTTAAAAAAAAACACAGTCAGTTATCCGTCGAGCTAAAAGTGGCCCGCCAGTTTGCGGAGCACAAATAGTTGACCGTCGCCTTCATGAGTACTTATTTATTTTCGTCATGGCTGCAACGGCTTTCCTTTACATTCAACTAGCGAGCGGTTCGTCGTTTACTTCATCATGGCTTTGACAAGAAGAGTTGCTGCAGAACCAACAATGGCAGCGGCGGTCATGAGCACTATTGGGTTGGGACCATTGATTTCTCCAATCTGGGGAGATCCCTGCTCTGGATCAGCCGGTTCGTATGTTCCCTTTGATCCGAGTTTGTCGCAACTGACCATGACACGTTCTACCATGGTTTCTTCGGCCTTTCGGACCCAGACTCGGGGATCATAAAACTTTTTGTTGGGCTTGTCGGCACCAGTGGGATTTCCAATCTGTCCTTGCAGATAATCGTGCTTTTCCTTTTCAAAGTTTCGAAGGCCATCCCAGTATGCCCACTGCGTGTCTGTGTCAATGTTCATCTTGATGACACCATTTTTGACGGCAGTCTTGATTTCATCATCGGTGGAACCAGAACCTCCATGCATGACCAAGTAAATGGGTTTTTCCAATGGTGAGTTGAGCATCTTGCGAGCATACTCTTGGTGCTTTCCAAGACGCTCGGGAGAAAGAACGACATTTCCGGGTTTGTAGACACCGTGGACATTACCAAAGGCAGCGGCAATGGAGAACATGTCACCGACCTTGGAAAGAGCATCGTAGACAGCATAGACCTGCTCGGGACTAGTATAAAGTTTTTCGGGGTCGACATTTTCATTGTTGACACCATCCTCTTCTCCTCCCGTGATTCCAATTTCCATTTCGAGCCAGATCTTCATGGGGGCCATGCGCTTGAAATATTCGACACAAATGGCAATATTTTCATCATCGGGTTCTTCGGAAAGGTCCAACATGTGTGAGGAGTAGAGAGGTTCACCAAACTTGGCAAAGAATTCTTCATCGGCCTTGAGCATGGCATCGAACCAAGGCAAGAGCTTTTTGGCACAATGATCCGAATGTAGCACCACGGGAATACCGTAGTATTTGGCAACGGAACGAACATGCATGGCAAGAGCGACAGATCCGGCAGCGGCAGCATCGGCGAATTTAATACCCTTTCCAGCCAAGAAAGCACCTCCTCCGTTGGATACCTGGATAATGACGGGGGATTTGGATTTGCGAGCAGCCTCCAAGACGGCGTTGGCAGTGGAAGAACTGTGAAAGAAAAACAAAAAGACATCAGTGCGTTAGAATTTTCCTTTGGCGCATGTTTTGCATGCAAAGCATTCAACATCATCAGAGAGTTCGGTTTTCCAAAACATCCGGCTAATGGGCTTCGACAAGCAAAAAATCCACCAGAGGACCCAGATACCCAATCCTTGGAGCAAGCCCACATCCCTCTCTTCCAATTATCCGTAACGGGAGTCCAAAAGATCAGTTGGGCGGGATGGCATTCCTTGGGGGTATCTGGGGCCTTCTCATTGTCTTCATGGCGCAAGCAATAAGTAACTTGTGGTAGCCTCACCTTGTGCAGTTGACAGCGGGGATGGCATATCCCTCCGTGCGAGCATGTTGGAGGAGAGTCAAAAGGTCGTCACCAGTGACCACACCAGGGGGTACGATATCGACGAGAGAAGTCATGGTTATTGTTTATTGTTTCTTTTGCAAATGAAAAATGAATTCAGAGGCTGTGAAGAGGGAAGGTTGTGGATCTTCAGAACGCTTTTTTCCCAGCATGCGAACTCCAAAAGCTCCCGCTGACGAAAGTACCGTTACAGTGGTATTTGCAAGTACGTGGTCGTCGGAAGCATTATTTGGGAAGCGAGAAAGATCCAAAAGATCTTTCTCAAACGGATCTTGGCATTTGACTGCTAAAAAAATCGAGCTCGGAAGTGATGCAGCCACGCCCCAAAGAAGCAAAGAAGCAATAAGCTGAACGACTAAAGACGACCCCACAATGGCAAAAGACGCAAGGCCCAACGTCACCGGTCGATAGATACCGCAGTAGCTATGCATAGCTAGGTTGGAGTACCTACAGCAGCTTCCGAAGAGCAATAGAACGTCCAAGCTGGAGCCTGAGGAAATTTGACAATGTCATAAGCGATGGTGGATGAAGGATGACGAATCGAATCGGCCGAGGCAATGCATCAAATGGCGGCAGTGTGAGCGAGGTATGTTGCCTTCCCAACTGGTATTTTTCGTATGGAAGCCGCATTGAAGACGGAGCGCCACAAGAAATGCAAGGTGTCAAGCCAGCCCCTTCCTGGGTGTTGGACATTCCGAAAATGCGTGCGGCAAGAATCAACAATCTCATTGCAGCGTTGGGACCAGATCAGTACTAGCCGCTCGGCCGGGAACATCTTCCTTCCGTGCTGCGAGAATCATTATCAGCACAGAAAATTCCAATTGGTTGATTGGTTGATTGGACCAGAGTGGGATGGGCGCATCAGCTCTGGTATCTGTCTTGCAGCTTCGTTGTCATGTTGGCTGCATGCATGTGGTTGGTGCCTGATGAACAGTATCAAACAAACATGGGGGTGCCAGAACAACCCATGGTCACTCATTTCCTTGCGTGTTTCTTAAAATGCTCTTTCTCAGCAGGGTAACAGCTGCACAACAGCTTTCGGAATGGGCATTCCTCTTTATCATCAATCAACTCGGTCTTTCCAGACGCAACCAGAAAATGATACTCATGACCGCCTTTCAATTTGCCACCGGAAATGGTCATGCGCACGACAAACATAAAAGAGCACAGCTAGAGTCTGCACACGGTAACGGAGAATACCTTGTCATGTAGGTGTGTCCACAAGGCCACTGGGCATACTAGTACTACAATAGCTACCCAGACCACACCAGTTAGCCAGCGTAGTTGAATTATTTGTCGCTTGTGGGAACTCAATTCACGTTGCTGGCATATTACATTACTGCTGAGCCTTTCCCAAAAATATGCAAGGTAACGAATCCGAAGTCTTTACATTCCTCGTCAACATCAGCACAGACGCATATACCTGTAGAAAGGAGCAGAGGTGGAATGTTATCCACCTCTAGCAAGCAACTGGACACATATCTGGATTCTTATTAAAACACAGACTTCAGAGTCGAGTCAAGAGGCAATCTGACACTCCAAAAAAACTGATACCCAAGTGTGGGTGCACCTTCTCTACGTTACTTTGTTACTGGTACTTTTGTACAAACCACAGACAAGAGAATAGGTGCGCATGCTGACCAAGTGCAAGATAGCAGTATGGCACCGTAGTTGTGGTTGCACCAATGCAATGGAGCAAGGTGGCACGCTTTTCATTACTCGCATACCGTAGAAGCATTGCACGGACATGCAACCAGAACCTGTCCCACAAGCACATCGACTCGACAGATTCGATGGGGTACAAGCAAACAGTGCCTGGGTCTATCTCCCGGTAAGAGACCTCACTCCCGACCAGGGTGTTTGTCTTTCCAGCAACGAGCTCTGTGCAGATCTCAAGGCACTACCAGGTACACTTGCCTGGAGCCATGTGGCAAGCACGCAACCACTTGATAATCCGTGAATGTCCCTTATGAGAGCCAGGAAAGTGCCAACAGTCTGTCTGACAAGACTGCAGAATTGCAGCTGAAACTGCACCTTGATCGGCTGAGGGGTTCCGAGCTTGAGGATGCACTTTTGTGGATATGAAATGACTAAGAAGTAGATTGTCGAATAAGGAAAAGAACGCAACCTGCCCTGCTTCCAGTAGTCAAAGGGTATTGTACCGGAAACCTTTTAGCAAGGATAGCAGCTTCTGCGGAACTCGATGACTACTCCACCCAAATGACGGCGGACTAGAAAATCTAGATTTCGCCTCCACAATTTCAAAGCCTACTGACGAGGCTTCACCATGTTGATTGGACTGTTTTTACCAGAACCATCCTCCGGCTGATTTCCCTTTCTGCAGTTCGCGGGACCGAACCACCTTTCGTCGCAGCTTTTCTGCTGGACATTCGTTCTTTGGAACCGTAAAGTTGCGATATTGGCAATTGGAACAGATCCATTCCTTTACCCTTCGATTAAAGTACTTGGATGAATCGCAGTTTTCACAGGCCCACCAACCACGTCCTCCTCGGAAATTGTTCGGGACATCAGGTTCTGTCACGGTGCCATGGCGGATCTCTTCTGGTCGCGGTGGCACAGAGCTTGCCTGATCCTTAGTAGCCTGAGCTTCTAGCTTGGCAGCAGAGGGAAGGGGGGTGGACATGTTCAACTCGAAGCACAAAAGGAGGAGACCCTCAAGTCGGCTGAGGGGCGGTAGATGTTGCAGACCACTTGACTGATCGAGAGTTGCGATGTGATGACCGTGTTTTGTGGGTGACAGGCCAGTCGTCCATCCCTTCTCATACCCCACCAAGCGGTACCGGTACACGTACCGGTTTTATATTAGCGACCGTGACCCCGGCGCCAACGCTCTTTTGCCACTTTCTAGCCTCGCCATGGAGCCGGCACCAATTTTCCTCCGTCGACGGCGATCCATCGACTTGCCCAAATATTACAGCTGTTAGCATGTTAGCACGCAAACAATCTCCCCATCTAGATAATATCTTTGCTACTTGTAGAGCACGAATTCCAGAGGTACCGTAGTATACATAGTGCAGGCAAGCATTCAGAAGAAACTTTTCATGGATTGTTGAAGATGGTTCGTTTCTTGCAACAACACAAAAACAATCAGAAGACTGAAAAGCCCATGACATCCGCATTGATATTCTTGGCAATTCTATTGAGTGCGGGGAATCTAATGATCAGCCATGCGAATCAGATCATGGAGCTCACTTTAGGGGGTGCTGCTTTGCAGCATCTTGATGAAGTTAGAACTAATCAAACAACAGTCTTGGTTGGCATCCAATCGAATATCAAGGCGCACTATGAGAGGGCATCTGCTTTCTTGAAGGGAGCCTTTTCTAAATCCTGCAATGAGCACAGTCCAGAGGCTTTTCAGAACTACAGGGGAAAAATAGAAGAAGTAGATCATGCCAACACTACTCATTGGTGTGTCATATCCCCCTCCAAGATGCCAATTAAAGTGAAATGGTTTGATCATTTCCCACACTGCATGGAAGTGACCCTGCCATGCTGGTCCTGGTTTCGATCACAACATGCTACTAATGATTGTGGATTTGTCCTTGTGGGAGGTCTCAGATTTGATTTGCTGGGAAACAACACATGGCAGAATCAGCTTGTTACAAAACACATGGGGTGTAAGGTTTGGCATGTACCGAATGAGCAATCCATATCAAGCAATGAAGGGGTTTTCCACAGCCCAAATTTGAGATTATTGAGACCCACATTTGGACGACGCCGATACTTGCATGATCCTGATGATGCCCAAGCATTGAGAAGAGTTGTGGGGGTGACTGATGCTTGGGTGGAATCACAGAAGGGTGGTGGGAAGCCACTTCAGATTGGCATCATTCAGAGAACTAATAAGAGAGTTGTGACCAATATGAATGATGTTGCCAAGGGCCTGCAACAAGCTCTGCCTGAAGCCAATGTTACAATATCCACATTTGGTTACCCAACAGTACTTGAACAGGCCAAATGGTTTGCTTCCAAGCATGTCATTGTGGCCGTCCATGGAGCTGCCCTTACCAATTCAGTTTTTGCAACCAAGGGAACCTTTATTCTTCAGCTGCATCCTCCTGGCTTTTTTTGGACGTCGCTTGACCCCTTGATTGATCAGAGTGGTGCAATTGCCCTTGATTGGTACAAAGGAGATCATCCAGTGATGGAATCTCTCGAGGTCATCAAGAATCCTAATCGAAAGAATCAAATGCAGCATCAGGACTTTGAAGTTCCTGTTGATGAGATTGTTGACATTGTGCTTGTAGCATTGGACAAGAAGGAAGCTACTCCACTTATGATCAAGAAATCTAGCATTGGATAAGAAAGAAGCCACTCCCTTTATGATGAAGCAATCTAAATTCTACTGTGCGCCCACAGAAGAAATTCAACTGATCCGTCGGGAGACACTGCAAGGTACGAGTACAGTACCTCATGGAAAGAGTTGCCCATGCATACGCAGCAACGGCAGGACAGCATCGTCAGCCTTAGTGATCATCGTCACAGGAATGAGGTGCGAGCTACACGTGAGGCCCAAAGAACTCTATGGTACCGCTATGGTGTTGGCCATTCAGTACCGACCGTAATGTAGCCTATGCTTCGGGCTGGATAGATCTAGCTTCTACAGCAAACATAACGGTAGCGAAACTAACAATCTTAGATTCAATCTTAGCATATTATCTCTGGCTGGTTACGAGTAGATGTATAGGCTTGTTGCACGGCCGTGAGATTGACACTCTCCTTTGCCATTGGTGCTTCCCTGGTCGGGTCGAGTCTAATAAAGCAGGATGCAGGCCATGCGCAGTACCGGTAGACCCAGGCAGCATTTGCTGCGGCTGTACAAGCACAGAGAGTTGTGTGCCAAGTTCCATTCATGTGCTAATTGCAACCTTGGATGTTTACAGCCCACCATCTGACCATCTGATCAATTCAGTGCAGAAGTTTCTTTCAGTATTGCTAAGTATTGGTAGATTGGTAGCATCATCATCAATGAGATCTTGGCTTCGTTGCAAGGCCCAAGGTACACTGTACCGTACCGCAGACTATTGGGGACTGTAACCGGCTGGTCCCCTCGAAGAAGCAGTCCGAGATTCCCGGCATGTCATACCCTGGTAGCTCTGCTGGCCGTGGACTCGAGGCTAGCGTGGGCCCGTCGGTGGCGAGGGCCGTTAAGGCGTCCTCGCAGTTAAGATTGCATGATGCAACTTCTAAATAAGCGTTGGGCAGACGCCGGTATCCAATGCCTAGTGGAAATTACGTGGGCCAAGTCGCCAGGCCATGTATAGTACCTTCGTGCCAGAGACATCATTTGTCTAAGTAGTTTGTATGTGCTTGGGCTGATCGGCGACATAACCGAAAGGTGCGGGCTTGCTTCCCTTCAGTTCGAAAACCGACATTGGCGACCGCTGGCAAAGGATCCACACAAATCGCCTTGTCAAGTAGCCCTACAAATTGTCAAAGAAAGGTGAGCCGCCATGGTGATTTGAGCGTCGGAGTCCGTTTAGTTTATGATAGCTGGAGTAGTTGATCGATCGCGTCGAGTTGTAGTAGTGCGCTGGAGTGTTTGTGCTGTGCATTATCGGACGCGACTATTGGATGGTTGGGTTGTTACGACTGCCTCTTTCGATGATATTTCAATTCTCACGTTCCGCTCTGCTTTTGTTCTTGCAGTCACAGCTTTTCCTCCTCAACAACCAACAAAACAATAAGCAATCATGAGTGTTGAAATGGAAACCTGCCCCGCCTCTGCGCCTTTCTTTGGCTTTATGGGAGTGACCAGTGCTTTGGTGTTTGCCAATATTGGTGCCGCCTACGGAACAGCCAAGTCTGGTGTTGGTATTTCCTCTATGGGAGTTATGAATCCTGGACTTGTTATGCGTAACATCATTCCAGTAGTCATGGCTGGTGTGTTGGGAATCTACGGTCTGATTGTGGCTGTCATCATTCAAGGTTCTATTGTGGCTCCTCAAAATGGATTGAGTCAATACAGTCTCTACACTGGATTTGCACACTTGGCTGCTGGGCTTTGCTGTGGACTGTCAGGACTCGCTGCTGGTATGGCAATTGGAATTGTAGGAGATGCTGGTGTACGAGCAGTTGGACAACAAGAGAAGCTCTTTGTTGGTATGATCCTTATCCTCATTTTCGCGGAGGCTCTTGGTCTTTACGGTACGTCCTTTGTTTTTGATTCCGTTTTGCCTTTTCACTTCTCTAACTTTCTTATTTCCGTCTATCACAGGACTTATTGTCGCACTGATCCTATCGCAGAACTCTTTCGTGTGCGAAGGAAACAACTAGTTCAATCCTTGGCATCAATCAATTCATTTGGTGTTGCTATTCTTTGTCAGCACTCATGCGTAATCTATGAACTCTACCTAACTCGACGGCTTTTCGAAAGCAACCACTCCAGGTCTTTTTGTGCACAGCAACCAAGACCGTCAGATTCTTGGGCAACTCAAGGAAGCTAGACTCATAGGTGTAATTTAGAAGCACTGGATACAGCTTGAAATTTTGTTCAATACGTTCACATTGTAGCTAGCTTCCGGTAGTTCGAAGAACCTAACCATCTATTTTAAAATAGTCGTACTCGAATGTCCGACGATACGGTCCACTTGCGCTTTGGGAATTAACTGTCGTGAAGCTCGCCTTGCCCTAGAAATCTGTACATGTACTCCATTGCCTCATTAGCCATCTATGAATGAAGATTCGTCGTCATGCGTTGCCACCGGCGGCGTTCTATCTATTGTACTTCGCGTGCTCATTCAATTCTTTGTATTCGCTGAATACACCATAACATGTTTGGACGTCTCCTGCGAAACGGTGGAGCATGAAGTAGATCAGAGTGCATATATTTGGGAGCAGCGCGACTCCAATGAGGATTGCCCTGCCCATGTGGCTGATTTTGTCTATACATGTAACATAAGTATGTAGTGGAGCTAGTTATTGACAGTCTTAGGTCTTCGAATTTGGGCTTGTGTTAGCTAGCGTCGCCAGCTTCATATCGAAACCTCTAGCTGTACGAGGTACGAGTACGGCCGGTAATGCAGAAAGAAAATGATTCAATCATTCAGCAAAGAGTCGGAGTTACCGTGACGGTGCGGTTACCTCTCGCGAGGGGAATGGCATGGCTCCATCGCTTCTAAATACTACAAAAGGTGAAGCAAAACTATTGACGTCTCGAACTGTTGTGACTAGGTTTACGTTCCTAGCTAGCAACTCTAGATTCATCTCGTATGATAGGATACCACACATACCACTAGCTAGCTCGCTAGAAACCGGTAAACCTCAACGATCGTTCCGTGTTTCATCTCAGAAAGAACAGCACGAGAGGCAACTTGCGTTCCTCTTCCTCGCTGCGACAAGCCTACTTTCTCCTATCATCCTCGTCTTGATCTGTCGCAAACGATGACACGTCCTCCTCGGTCCAACCATCATCGTCACTAAAGTCTGCGCCACCACCGTCCACAAACAATGAGGAATCCTCACTCGTATCGCTGGGTACGCCTGGTGCAGGAATTTCGACGGGTTCACTGGGTGCCATGCCCCTTTCTTGTCGTATCCTTCGTTCTATGGCTTGGCGTTTTTGGCAATTTTGAATAAATTCAATGTAGCCCTTCAAAAACGGCAGCTTGGGGTCCTTGAGAATTGATTTGCGATCAAAATTGGGATCCAAGGGTACGTCCTTTTCGTATCCTTTGGATTGCCCTGTGGTGGAGAAATCACCGCTATTCGTGTCATTTAGCTGTTCTTGCTGTGATGCATTCCATTGTCGCTTGTATTCTTGGACAAGTACTTCACAAAAGTGGTCCGAAATGGCGGATCGGCCTTCCATGAGAGGAATATCTGTGACCTGTTTGGCCAGCTTTTGCGTATCCGCCATGTATGCGGACGTATTGGCCGCCACGAGAACGCTCAGTGTCACATCCAATGTGAATTGAAAGGCTCGCCATATGAATGGGCGTTTGTTGTTGACATCCTTGTGGAACGGCGATCCACCGGGCAACGCATCCAGTGTGTAGCCACTCTGTTGTCGCCGTCGAGCTGCCGCTCGTTGCTGCAGATACCGAGGAAGTCGTCGTGCAATAACAAAGGTGGTAACACCGGCAATCAAACCTTCCATCATTCCAGCTCCATGAATATTGTTCAAGACGAGCAGCTCTCCATCGCTGAGGTTCAAATCACGGGCTTGCTGGATCCTGATCTCTTCTACTCTTGCCTTGGAGACTCGCAAGAAAGTTTCCAGCATACTGGCTTCTTGGCGTTTGCGTTCCTTTTCATCATCGATACTCTTTCTACTGTCGCTGTTATTGTTGGCCATGGTGCTCTTTGACGCTTTGGCAGATATGCCTCTTCGACAGGTGTGCGAAGCCACCTAAAAAATCTTTTCTCCGAGAAGCGGTTTTTTGTCTGAATCATTCGGAACCGTCATTTTGACAGAAGAATCTTTCCATTTCTCAATTGTTCCATTTCTCACCTCGCGAAGCCTTCCGTGGAATTGCATGGAATGGGTGAAGATGATGATGAAGAAGATACGGCGGCCTGTGCCGCTTTGGAGGAAGCTATACGGCAAGAAGAGGCCCTGATACGATGCTACGAATCAGAGTTAAGAATGCTGAAGCGAGAAGAACGACGAAAACAAGAGAAACAGCAGAGAGCCCAGGACGACGATAAGGACAGGGTCCCATTGGAAGACCTGTTGTTACCTCAAGACGCTCCTGCTGTGGCGTGGAATCTGGAAGCAGCCATGGAGGACAAGATCAAGACAGAATGTTGGGAGCTGACGCAAGCCATACAAGGATTTGTCGTGGATTCTGTGGAGAGCCGTGCTCCACACAATGACGTCTCGATTGGCCAAAACGATAGCAAGACTCTTTCGTCATATAGGATACAAGGACACTTTTGCATGGCTACGAATGTGTCCGCCACAATCCACTTGACCACGGAACAGATCCCAAATCGCAACAACAGCACGACTGCTTCCACTTCAAAAACCACAAGCAACAGCCGAATAATCCGCTTGGAAGGAACTTTGACCAAAGCAGGGAAACGTTGGACTCAAGCGGAGGAGCAAGTATCGGCAGTCACCGCTCGACACTGCCAAAACAACAATATGGCGGATTGGATTCGCCGACTGGGTGATTTCTTGCGATTTGAAATCCAACAGACTAGAGCACTCGCTAAATGGGAGGCTCTGTACAGAATCAGCAACAATAATCTTTGGTCACGGTCTGATGATTCTATCAGTGTTGACTTGCATCCTGGGGATAGCCACGCACCAACTTTTACGTGGCAGTGGGATTGGGAATCAGAGAAGGATACCGTTAGCATGAAGAAATTGTCCAGGGAATACGACAAGGAGGGCAGTGATGCTGACAATGATAGCGATGTATCCAGTCATCCAAGTCCACAGGGGTTGAAGGATCTGGTCGAGCATGCAGGAAGTTGTGAACGGGCTCTGGAGTTGATACTGGAAACAATGTTGGCTGGTTGAATGATATGGGTCGGCATTCAGGCAGAGTCACCGTAGATCCGTTCTTCTTGACTCTCGCAGCCGAAAGTTGGTTTCTGGCTGTATTTGCCCGTTCTGGTCTTTGGTAAGCTTCAACCACATACGATCTACCTGTAGAGCCGTCTCTTGAGTGGGAGAATGCTACCGTAGCTATACCGGTAGGCCATACTGTAGCCCACACTTAATAGTTTTTAGTGCTGGATATTGGGATTTGGTTACTCCGACCCGTGATGTTTTGAGCGGGGGTCGATAGAGGGACTGACCTCTTGACGATGATAGGTTGGCCCGACCAGACGACATGATAGAGACACGACTTCGTGCTCTTGTACCGGGATGTCCTGTTATTGACGCGAGAAAACTTTTTTCATTATACAGGCTCGGTAAGAGCCTTTAGTTTATGAGGTGGAATGATAGAGAGGAAACAAAAACCATGCTACATGCAATAGACGGTTTGGATGCGATAGACGGTTTGGACGCGTGATGGCACATATTGTTTGGCGGCAACTTGACGTCCAGAGGTTGGAGCCTCGAACAAAGCAAGACAAGGAGCAGCTCAACCATGTGCTCAACCGCGATAACCACGGTCGGAGCCACCCCGATCACTGCGGTAAAAGTCACGGTCGCCACGATCGGCAGGGTCTCTGTCGCGATATCCTCCAGGACTGGGAGGTCGGCGCTCTCTGGATCTGCTACGGCGACGGTCTCTCCAGCCGCCGCCACCACCACCACCTTCGTATCTCGAACGAGAATCATACTTGTCACGATCATCGTATCTAGGAGGCGAGTTCGAACGACTGCGGCTGCGAGACCGGCGTCGAGCAGGTGGGCTCCTATCACGATAGGATCCTCCTCTGCGATCGTCATGGCGATCACCTCGTCCTCTGTCCCGGTCGTACGACCGGTCCCTGTCATACCGGCTTCCGGAGTACCTGGAAGGTGGAGCTCCACGAGAAGGTCCACGGCTGGAACGGTCATCGTAGCGTCGATCTCGGTCTCGATCGCCACCACGCCATCCACCACCGCCTCCTCCTCGGCCGCCACCAGCACCACCACCTCCACCAGGACCGCCAAAGCGTTGATCTCCACGGCGATTTGCCACGTATTCCACCGTTAAAACACTGCGATCTAATTTTCCGCCATTGGTAGCTTCCTTGGCTCGCATAGATTCATCCACAGTCCGGAACTGGACAAAGGCATAATTTCCTTTCATGTCAATACGGACCAGCTCACCAAAAGGTCCAAAGAGCATTTCCAAGTCCTCCTTTTTGGTAGTTTCTTCATGAAAATTCACCACAAACAAGGTTTCCGAAGGTTGAATATTGCGGCGTCGTTCGTCTTCCTTGCGCTTGACTCGACCATCTCCTCTAGCAAATTCTGCCCGCAATGCCGAAGATACATTGGGAACCGCCCTAGTAGGGAAGAACAATAATAGATGGAGGAGGAAAATCAAAATCCCATGATCCAAATCAGGTCGGACAGCGAAAATTCAATGGTGAGTTGGCGAAAATGAATTTGTGTAGGAGAAGAGGGGAAGGAAGGAGGGGAGTCAGATAGTGTACACAGTACGACGTTGGCAATGCATGGTGATGAAGAAGCGAAGAACGGTGAATGAAGAGTGCGAAGAAGATTCTTTGGCGATGCGATCGATGAAGACAAGAGGATTGACGAAGGAATGGAATGGAATGGATTCGAAGATGGTGATCGATGTGTTTCACGTAGCGATGTTCACGTAGCGATGTTGACGAGGTTGTAGGCTCTTACATTCCGTTGATGTCCGAGACGAAGCGCTCCACTTGTTCCTTCTCGGCCATGTTGGCGACGTCCTTCAAAAACACAAAGCAGTAGCCTCGTTTCAAATCCACACGATCGATAGCGACGGGCTTGTAGGTGTCCTCTGGTAGGTCACGAGGGATGATTGGCTTGGTGAAGATCTCCGTCACTTCTTCGGTTCGAAAGCCCATGGAAAGATTCCCGAGGAAAACTCCACGTAGCGACACTGGACCTTCGCTGCTGCTGCCGCCTGCTGCAGCGGCCGCAGGAACGCCATCTCCAGACTCTTCTGGGGCAGGAGCGGTGTCCTTCACCTCTCCCGACTGGTCGTCTTCGTTCATTTTCAATGCTGGTATGACAAGGCAAGCACTCGGAACAAAGAGAGCCTTCAACAAGTCTTTGTCTCGCCAACACACAAGAAGTGTGCGGAAGGGCGCGAAGGTCAGTGTGGCGAGAGTGACGGTGCAGCGGCCGCGCGAAACAAGCGCGCAAGATCTTGTATAAGCCAGCAAGGTTTTGTGGGAGACCCCGGCCTGAATCGAATCCAGAACACCACCTTCTCTGTTCCTGGGTGACTTTTACCGGAACCCTAACCCTCCCTCTGGTACTGCAGCCCTGTGGGGCTCCCCCCTGGGTTTCCGGCAAACATTCCCAAACATGCCTCCTCTAACCGCCAGTACTAATAGGGACTGGCCTGAGCAGCTCAAATCAGTCCCTAGTTACCGGTTGGCTCTAATGCCGCCATGCCTGGCTCTGAGAGCATGGGCCCCCCCCTGACAGTAACAAATAAGGACAGTAACAAATAAGTGCACCGGAGCATTCAAAAGTGAACCACCAGGCCTGTTGTTGCTGCCATGGTGGCATGGTAGTGCTGCTGCCATCATACCGGTAGTGTCTCTATTGATACAATTAACCAAGCTTTCTTGCTGTCATCCATAGTATTAGTAGAAGATGAGTGGTCTTCCTGATCTTGCCAGAGCTAGGGAAGAAAACGCTGCTGCTAGCGAGCTAACGGATAGTATCCCCCAAATTCTGGTTGATGATAATGGCGACCCAATCAATGAGGGAGACGATGCTGATGAAATCCCACAGCCAGAGCTGACTGATGGCAGGAGCCAAGCAAATTCAAAACCAAAGTATCAGAAGAAGCCGGGCTTCAAAAAGCCAAAGATGGTTGATTTGTACGCTAGCATGAGATAGGCAGATATATGTACTGAGTCCACCGAGGATTACTTTGGTCCAATCTGGCCTCGATGGCAATTCTTCTGTGAATCGATAGTCTCGAATAGGGAACCATGGAAAGTCAAATTTGGCTTGCGGCTGTACGACCAGCGGAAACTTTCAGATATTCAAAACTCCAACCTGTATGACAAGGAACTACCGGTGCAATTCTTCCAGTGGCTTATGGAAGAGTGTGGTGGCTGCAAATCAGTCATGGCTAAAGCAAAGACCTTTCTCAATACTAATATCAAATGCGAGCATTACTGCCGCCTAGTCGAAGCTGGGTTTGCTGGTATTCTGGAGCAGATCAAAGTTGGCGAGTCACTGTCAATCCAGAACTCTTGCAAAGCCGTACAGAGTCAAGCTGCATCCAGGGTTCTTAACAATTGTGAGGATATACAGGCTCAGCTACAGCAATGGGTGTCCTTGGATCAGATACGGGAGATGGCACTGTCAGCATTCAATCCTAAGGCCGGTGGTCCAGTATCTAAGCTGAAACCCAGCAATGCGATCTATTTTATGTGCCACTATCACACAATGAGTGCCACTACCCGAAGAAGTGAAGAGTTTGTTGGACAAAGAATGATTCAACGAGCCTTCAAGTTCATGGATGCTATTGGTCCATCCGGTATTGGAGCATCTCAGATTGTGACTAACAAGGCAAAGCACAACAAGGTCGGGTGGCTAGAGTATACTGTAGCCATCCCGCACAAAGATCCATTGAGAGATTCCAGCAGCTGGCATGGTCTCCTTTTTCTCTGGCAGCTGATAGTGGAGAAAAGGAGACTGCCTGATTTGTCCAGCAATAACTACAAAGCTATCTTTGATGTATTAACGTATCCATCATCAGAGGACGCAGACAAGACTGTCTCATCTCGACAAGTCGCTGCCAACTTTGGAAGCTTCTACTTGGAAGCTGACGTGATATGTGCAAAGATCACACATCAGCCACGTTTCCAATCGATCCAGCAAATGGATATGCTTGGCATTCCAGAACCTGTCCAGTGTCGAATGACTGGGCACAAAGGGAAGGGTCAAACCGTCCATCAAAGAAGCTATGCTAACAACCCACCCACTGCTGGTATCGTCCAAAGGGCCGGCGGTGACCACCACTACCCCCAACAGTACAGTACTACTCCATTCCAGCTTACAGTGCAAGAAAAGGTGTGGGTCAATGAGATCCGATGTGCTCTTATTCCAGAGATCGAAGAGTGGTACAAAACAATCTGCAGGGATTTTGACTCGGCTACTTCAGCAGCTGCAAGGACATCGAAGCGGTTGTACACCAAAAAAGGAATGGTGGCTTCTATTCGATGGGATGTGGAAAGTTGTATCGTGATGCTAGCTACACCGGAGCTGCACCCAAAAACCTTTAAACTACTGCCCAACTCCAACCTGAGTGTCTTTCAAAGATACCGGAATGACAGATTTGCTGTTCTGTTAAACCACTCAGCATTCAATCTACCAGCATTCTCACTGCTAGAGCAGTCAATTCTCAGTCGACTCAAAGCCAAGGACACAATCAACTCCATGTTCAGTGTTGAGAATCCAGATAATGTATCCAACATGGAACAGTTGCTAGTCCAGTATGTCAGCCGTCCCTTTATGCAAATGCAACAGGAGCAACAGGCAGCTTTCTCAGAAATGCGACAAATGCAGAATCATTCCAGTTCCTTCGCAGCAGCCAGCAGGAGACCTACTACAGAGCAGGGAAGTTTTGCCATTACTCCTTCCCCCACATCTGCCGGCAAAAGAAACAGCAGCACCTTAGCTGATGGAGTAACTGCAAGGAAACGATGACCACCAGTGAAACAGCATGAGTCCATATCTCAAGAGCTCAGAAATCGGACAAGCAATGGTGAGACCAGGAAGCGTCAAGCTGAGATGGTTGTTCTATGTGACAATGACTGCAATACTTTCGAACAGTACTGGAAACACTACTGCAAGCACTATCGACAATTAGAAAAGGAAACCGGTGGTCGTTGGAGGCAGGATTTGGGTGGGCGCCAGAGGACACAGTGGTGGACACAGCGAAGTGGCATGTATCGATTGATGGAGCACTATCTTGAATCTGGACTTACAGAAGAGGAAGCATTGGAAAAGTGCTCTGCAATATACGACTCGATAGAGAAGGGAAAACGAGCCAAGAAGCCAAGGGTTAAGGCCATCGACAAAGCATTCAAAGCCAAGTTGGCGGAATTGGGAATCAAACCAAAGGGTAGGCCCAAAGGCAAACAATCCTCTCCTGCTAAGCAATGTACTGGAGCAGGAGCTGGAGCTCCAGACACAAATGAACCTGACCAAACCACTAGGAGGAGAACAGCTGCTAGGAGAACTTTACCGGAAAACACAGAGGATCAATTTGGGGAGGTATTTGGAGCAATTGTGGACCAGAATCCCTTCACTCGACAAATATTTGATGAGGCAATGCAGGAGTCAGAATCCCAGAGACAACAACATTTAGAGGAAATTCAAGCAGCAAAAGAGCAGCAAAAGGGATACACTTCCTGGTGTGCCAATACCACCTATGCCAGCTGGATATGGTACATTGCATGCCCTACCTTGGAGACCATACGAGGGACAGCCAGAAATCGACCTGCCGCATGGGCATCAATATGCTGCGATTACATAACTATAAAATTAATTTCTATGATTTACCGCTGACATCCTCTAGCTTTGTGGTCGAGTTCTGAAACATTGGCACCACCACGGATTCTATCTGGAAGGTGGACAGTATCCCGGAAGTCAGCATGGAGCACATCCCTTCCACCACGAATTTCAAAAGCAATACCTTGCATGGGACACAATATCTGACCTGTACCTCTGTCCTCTAGAGTCTTCCCAAGCCTATCTGTGCTGCCTTTATCATTCGGTCCAATTTTAGAAATCAAACCGAGAGTCTCGATCACATGCCCATCACTGCTGTCACAGTGAGCAAACACTGGCTCGAAATTGAGGAGCTGCCCATTTGACAGAATATATTTGATAATTAGGCACTCAAAGTCATCCAAGGATTTATCAATATTCTGCCAAAAGGATTTCGTGTCTTGAAATCTTGGCTAGGCCTCAATCAGATGCTCCCATAATTTCTCCGTTTCTCCATTATCCAACCTTGTGGGGAATCCAGTAGCAGGAGCATCCACTACCAAGGTTGAGACAATCAGCTGATACCGAAGCCTAGAAATTTGACGGTCAATCATGTAATGCTCATCAGTGGCCATCACAACTCTTCTCTGTTTTGTTGTTAGCTTCAATCCTGAAATGTCAGCTCTCATGGATTGCTCACGTTTTTTGCCTTTCGGAGCTTTGCCTGTCAGCCCAGTACCCCGGTAGGTGAGTGTGGGATTGACTGTCTTGCCATTCACTGTATGCTCCCAACTTCTATCAATGTAGGCACTTTTCCCAACAAATTTTGGGTTCAAGTAATCCTGTTCTATCTGGTGCACCTCCACTGGTCCACCAGCAGGCCCACCTCTGCCGTAGGTCGTTGGCTTTTTCGCAATTTTGGTCATTTCCCTAGATCTTGCCACTAGAGTTTCATGTGATGTCTTTAAGGGCTCCAAGCCAGCATGATTCAAAAGCTTTTTGCCATAGGAACCAAAGACAGGCCAATAGGCTACTTGAATAGGCCCTGTATCATCCGCCTTAACGACAAAGTCTTTCCCAAACTGTGCTTCCTTAGCCAGGAATCCACCAGTGATCGAATCTCTAGTTAATTTGAAAGAATCATTGTTGTAGTCGTTGACTAATTTAGTCAATCTAATGTTTAGAGTTTTGGGCATGGCTTCTTTCCATCCATCCAGTTTTGAAGGATCACAATCTCCCCAGTAAGGTCGGTTTGCCTGGAGAGCATCTTCCATGGACAAAACAATTAACTTTGAATCTGGCAATTGGCCAAAGGTCGCTGTACTCTTCACGAGTGCATCCATGTTGCGACATTTAGTCGAGAACCTTCTCCATGTTTCGTCATTTGCCTCATCCTCTGTGGATTCTTTGGCAGTTGTAGTTGTAGTGATATCAGTAGCTGCCGTGGCTGTACTAGCAGTAGCAGTACTAGCTGTGGTAGTAGTAGCCTTGGTGATTTTGGTTTTGGCATTCTTGGAAGTAATACCATCATTGCCTCTGTTTCGTACACGGCCTCTCAGAGTTCCATATTTGCTACTGAGCCCATGTATTTCACAGAATTCTTTGAACTTCCTTCTGGGAAATTCTTGTTGAAAAGACGACCACTCAGCATAGATTGCCTCAAATGCCTCATGAGTAATGTGCTTTCCAGATCTCTTGGCCTTGGTAGAAACAATTGAATTGACAGCAGCTTGGATATTCATGACAATGGTTTCAAGGCTGGGGACTTGGATGGACTGATGCGAGCTGAGGAAAAGCTCAATGATTTCATTCCGAGTTCCTGAGCAAGGAGTGGCAGTATGCTCTTCCAGCCCATCAAAAATGATGAGCTTTTTCAGGAAAGCCCATCAAAAATGATGAGCTGACTCCCAGTACTGATTCCTACCAAGCTGGGATGGGCTGTCATTGGTTTGCATTGATCTACCGGTCTCCTGGGTGTAGTAGTACCCTCTGTGATGGTAGTAGTGCGGCGGATTGCTGCTGTGGCCAATTTGGATCTATTCTGAGTGGCTGTGGCGAAATTGGCCTTTTTGGGAGCCAATGTGAGACTTTTTCTATGGTGTTCCATGGCGGTAAGGGCTCAGGTGAGGTCAGGGGTTCAATTTTTGCAGTTTTTGCTTTTTTTTAAAAGTTTTTTTGGAGTTTGCTCTGAATACCAGATCAGATATAACAAGTTAAAAAGCCCTTAATGCTTAGTACATTGGTATTTTTTGGTGCCTTTTGTTGTTGTTTTGAGCTTCGGCAGCAACAACCACCATGATATCAGCTCCCGTTCCAGAGCCATGCTGCCGACCCACTATGAAGTATGTATTGAGAATGAAATACATAAAAAGAGACTAGTTTTAGGCTACTAAAGATGTCCTTGATGGGTGGCCAAACTGATACCGAAAGAGGTACTTTCAGAGGTCAATTCTGAAGAAGTCGCCCTCGCGGACAGCTGACGTCTATTGCTGCGCCGACTTTGTCAGTTTCAGCAGTCCACTAGGGCCTACTATAAGGATACACTTGCACCTGGGTGACCATTGAGCGACCATTGTCAACCTTGTAAGACCAAATTGAGATGCCGGAGATGCCGGTACCGGCAAGAAAAGAGATGCTGTCATGGTGGAAGATACTTGTTATCGAAAAGTATCGATTTTGCCGGTTTGCCGGTTTGACACCACTTGAAGTCACTCGGAATGGCAAAATACGAACCAGCTTAAGAGAGGACTGCCGGACGTTCCGGACGTTTGGTACATATGTGTATCATTTTCGCGCAATTATTCAAATACTCTACATTTTTTGGTCACATTTTTGTATAAAATAATGGGGTTTTACTGTGGCAAGCTGGACCTTTCATCACCTAAGACGAAAATCGCCCCATTGCAGGTGTACCGCCAGTGGGATATGCGATACCAAGCGATTGGACCAGTGCTCATCTGTCTAGTAATACAAACCTTCTAAAGCATGCTTATGCCCAGCATATACTCCTGCCACAATGGCTATTTCCAGCGCTGAAAAGTGTACAACGCCCTACCAAAAAGTGTTCCAGGACGTCCTGACGCCCTGGAACGGCACTTTGAGGGAGCGATATAGAAAGCCAGAATGGTCCTTTCCTAGTCAAATAAGGCTCCTTTGCCCTGGCTAATAGTAGTACAAGAAGGGACCGCCCATGTTGGTCAGGCTGGATCCTTGTGGCATTCCATATCGCCCCTCCAAGTTGGCGATATGTGTGTGGGGCCATTCTGTGATGGCATAGCACGCCCTCAGAACACCCTTGCAAAATGGAGGTCAAAATTGTGAGAAACAATTGATTCATTTGTGGAACCAACGGTTGGAATCGAGTTGGCCAAGCAAGCGGCGCGCCATTCCACATGACTGAGAGGCAAAGAAGAATCGCGAACTGTTATAATGACCATGTGAACCAGTATGACCTCTAAGCCTTCCGGTGAACCACATGTGTCTGAAATTTTATTACCAGCAACTCACCTGGCAAGATCGATCTTGCCGGTATTGACAAGCGAACTCCACAAAACTGCACAGGTGTGGCTTTCCAGCACAATCAGTAGTTAGCTAGTAAACTATCAAGCGATCTTCAAGATGGCGCTCTTCCTCTCTCCTCTCACAAATTGAAAACACCAACCAAAGCAACAGCAATTGGCCAAGCAGGAAACAACAACAAGCGGCAGGAAACAACAAGCGGCAGATCGACCATGTCCTCCAGAAAGAGCGTGGCAAAGAAAGGGGAACCTGTCAAGCACATCTTCAAGCAAGATGGTCCCGACTTCAAGTTCCTACTTCGCTTGTTCCACAATGGAACCATCACTGATGAACAACCCGCCGCTGTGAGAGCCATGCATGAGCGATTCCAGAAGTACTCCACAAACCAGTTTCGCTCTCAGTTCAACAAAGCCAGAGGAATGGCTGCTGGTGTTGCTCTCAGGACCTCTGTGGAAACTTGAGTCGTGCAACCGATCGTCTCCTAAATCCTTTTGATCGTCTCCTATTTAATGGATTTCGTCTCCTAAAAATAGGAGACGAAACGGATCGTCTCTTAAATCTTTCGTCTCCTCTTAAATCGTCTCCTATTTTCAACGGATCGTCTCCTATTCTCAACGGATCGTCTCCTAAGTGCACCATGTAAACGGTATGGTATCGTCTCCTAAATCTTTCGGATCGTCTCCTATTTCGAAACGATCGTCTCCTAAATGGAACGTCTCCTAATGAATCGTCTCTTAAATATAGGAGACGAAAGCTATCGTCTCTTAAATCATTTCGATCGTCTCCTAAGCCTTGGTGTATCGTCTCCTAAGTAATTTGCCACGAATGACGTTTCCACAGAGGTCCAGGGGACCACAACCACCACAGGATGATGATGGACCACTACCCATTCTTCCCAGCTTTGTTCCTCGCAACCAAGTTCCTGCTGTGGCAGCCAGACCTTCTGCAGTTGCACAGGTTCCTACCATTGCTGACAATGATGATGATGTTGAAGCTGATGCTGAAGAGGATGGCCCCACTACTTGGAAGCCAAAGAGGATGGTGAAGGAGTGGGAGAATGAGCATGGCATTCACCATGTCACTATTATTGTCTGGCTGAGCAGTGGCGCGACTGAAGCCGACATTGAAACCATGGTCTCTAAAAATGGCAAGAAGCTGACTATCAGTGAGAAGTGGCACCAAGACCTCTTGGATATTGGGGAGTTCTATTATCTCTATCAACAACACACAAAGGAAAACCTAGAGGATACCAATGTGAGGCGCCATGCCATGCAGCAGTATGTGAGATCCATTCTTGATGTCAGAGGTGATGTCATTTCAGAGTTCACCATGGACCTCCCATTTCCAGTTGATCCCTCTACTTTGAATGTTACCTTCCCCAGCTTTGAGTCTGGTGCATTGTTCTGCCATGTTGACTTGGCTGAGAAAAGGAAGAAAAGGGTAGCTCAATCCTTTGTCATGAGGAAGAGGCATGCCAAGGGCAAGAAGAAGGGTGATATTGAATACAACAACCTGACCCCTCATCACTAGACAAACTCAACAACAGCCATGGCTTTGATGTGTGTTAGGCACACTGTAAACAACTACAACAACCAACCAATCTAGGAGCAACTTGTTGAGTGCTCATGTAACCAAAAAGGGTAGCTTGTTGAATGCCCTTATAAAATAGTACTTGCATGTTGTGTGTAATGGCTTGGGTAGTGGTGTAATGCATTTTCCTGCTCCTCCCAGAGCTTGGCACTCTGCTGGAAACCATCTAGAGCACGGTAATGCTGAGTCCACCAAGCACATGTAACTTTGGTTGCTCCATGGTCGCCCAACACACATCCTGAAAGCTGTCATTGACTGCGTTATCGAACGTCCAATCTGGGAGGACTGAATCATTGCAACATGCCTTGCCATGGACGCTGGAGAAGCATAATCGTGCCGTTTCAGATCTCAGCAAAGCCGTCTTCGTAGCAAGCAAAGGTGGTACCATTGGGAACGATAACATGGTAATCTGCATCGTTTTGTAAGCCTTCCTCGCGAGCAATTCTGGCGATGGCTTCTGCTAGAGTATCATCCTGAGAATCTGCATCAGCGGAACACACCGACTCCTCATCACCTTCCTGTTGCACGTTCTTTTCGTTGGCTACTCGCCGGTTGAGTGGGAGCTCCTGCCGTACATCCTCAATTTCCCCGTGCTCGCACATCCACTTGTACATATCCTGAATCGAATTAGAGCGCAAGTTTCACATTAGGTAAAGATGTCAATCCAACAACCAAAGATAGTCAAAGCAAGCCTCCGCTGCTGGACGTACGTAGATGTAATAACGATCCCTGCTTTTCAACGCGTCGCATTCCCTCGACATGGTCGACCATCTGCCATATCCAAACCGCTCAATCTGATCCTTCAAAGCTTCCCTCTCGACTTCAGTGAAACGTGGCTTGAACAACGACTTGTTCTTTTCCTTTGAAGGTTTCTTGTTTTCCACCAAAACGAGCTCTGCGAAATACTCCACAACTTTGATCACGTCAAGGCCAACACGTCGCAGCTCCAAAAGGCATTTCCATTCGCCACAGCTCGTGTTGACCTTGTTGTTTCGTTGCACGCTTCGTCGGGCCAATTCGACAATCGACTCGACGGCTCCTCGGTGCGAGATACCGAAGAGGTGACATGTGATCACTAACTTCAAATAGACAGCTTCCATTTCCAAGTCCAACGTGGCTGTTCCAGCATTGGAAGTGTCACCGAGACCTGACTGTCCTGTTTCTTCGAACGACTGGGGGAGACATTCATGGACCTTGCTATTTTCATTCTCAGGTAGTTCAGGTGAATTGCCGTCGTCGTCCTTGTTGTCTCTGCCCCAGAACCAACCCAAATCAGGCGGCTGCATAGTGCTCAACGTGAGACTCGGTAGCAGGTTGATTAGTGCTGCAGGGTTGTCTTCCAATTTCTCGGTGTCGACCAGACCGATGATCAATACATTCTTGAGCTGTTTCAGTTTGGTTTCGTCCCTGCATTTTTCAGGGACTTGCATGTGTGTAACGAGATAGTGCGGGTACCACCAAGAAACAGCATCAGTGCCCCACCATTCCCCCGAGACTTTACTCAATTGCTGGCTGAGATGATCCCATGTGAATCCCTCCCTCAATAGAGTACAATGTTTGCAAGTGTCTGGAGAACAGCCTGATGGAACATCGCTCGAGCGTCGATATCCAAGGGGGCCAAGTGCTTGAGTGAGCGCTCTCCAGTTTCCGATGCCGTTTGGATCAGCTTCTAAAGCAACGGCCAAACGCTTCAGTCGAAGATCGCAGCACGAACTTTGAGGCTGACTCAAGTCTTCTAGGAAGCAAAAACCGGTCTCCGATGGATTCTGAAGCGCCCATTGCGCGGCGTGATAGAAGTGGCTTCGGCGAACATCTTCTAATCTTTTCGTTTCCCAACAGGAACGACCAAGAACAAGCGCAGCGACTTGCTTCCATTCCCAAAATGAGGATATGGAAAGGTGAGCACGTGAAGATTGCCCTTGCTGAATTGCTAGCTGCGTCAATAGTCGTAGGGCCTCCTTGATATTGCGCTTCACATTCTCAAATTGATGCAGAGTTTGTCGGGGGCAAGGATTCGAGATTGCTGTGGAATCTTCCTTTAAAGAAACGTCGAAGTCATTACCAGTGGAACGCTTCGAGTATGAAGACGACGGCAGCGGGAGAGCTTCCGTGCCCAGTCTGTGGCCAGAACACAACAGAAGTGAAGCACATAGAACCGCCAAACGCCATTCGTGTAGGAAGGAATCAACTGGGTTCTTCCTGACACACTCGTTCATCATGATCACAGCCTTGTTCATCAAATACTCCAGTTCCCCAACATTAATCTGGTTCTCGATGTCCTCGCCATCCCATTCTGCGGATATGTGATCTTCCACTATCATATCGTTCTCCTCCATGTACTCGAGGCTCAGGCGAAAGATGTCCATTGGTGTCCTGTGCCTGTGGTCGTCCAAGGGGCGCGCCAGAATTTCGGCCACTGAAGTAGGTAATACCTTGGCAATGCTAGTCAAAGCAAACGTGACATGTATCCGTGGAAAGAGCCGTAGTACAGGACTTGTTACGTGAAGGGCCAGAAAGTCATGCAGTTTGAGAGCCACTTCATCCATTTTCAACACTGTCGCCTCGGGCCGATTTGGCTGTGCATCATTGTTGTCATCATAATTGCTGTTTGCTTTGAGTTGCTGTGGGATACCACTAGCAGCAAAGCTGCAGAATCCCATCAACGATCGATAAAACTGAACCATTTGAATCTCAATGCCAGGATAGTACAAAAGCAGTCGTCTCTGAGTATTCTTCTCGGCAGCCACGGCGGGCGCCCGATCCAAAAGGACAAATAACTGATCTTGTAGCTGGCATATCTTGCGTTCCAAAGTTTGGTAGCGTTGCTCCTTGACATTTTCATCATCAGATTCCTGCAGGTGGCTGCGATCATCCTTTTTTGAGGCTAGCTCTGCGAACTGTCGCTCTCGTTGGGCTCTACCCAGACGCATCAACAACGACGATAACGTGACTTTATATGTGGCGTCATCGAAAGAAACATGTCGGAAGTTTAGATGTCTGTCACTAGGCCCAAAAAGTGTATTGGTTTCATCCAAGGGAAACATCGGACTTGGAGGTGTGGTGCCAGCAATGTACATGTAACCCACATTGGGAGGAACGATGGGAACCTGCGCCTTGTGAAGTGATGGGAGGGGACCATCCATTTTGCCATCCGCATATTGCAAGATCAATCGTTCTCGCTCTGCCCGTGCTTGCAACTGCACAAGAGTAGCGTCTTCCGTCACACCGCGCATCGCTCTTGTTGGCAGCGGTCGAATCCCCAACCGCCGGGCTACAATTGCTCGCGACTTGGCATCTTTCCAACGATGCAAGAGAAAGGTCTCAAAGTTCTTTGCGTATTCTTCGGTTTGTATCATATGTAGAAACAGTCGCCTGTATCTGTGATTCCCAATGGGTGATCTCCAGAGGAGGCGCAACATTCTATCTTCGTGCGAATGCCGCCACATGCGTCCAGCGCTTGCCACGATGAATCTTGACGCCATGCATGCCAATTGTCGATAATGCAGAAACGTGCTCTTCCTGCTGGACACTGCGTTGTCCAACGGGAATTCCGAGAATGCACTGCCTGAACGATGAGCAGACCACCTCTTGCCGTCGTAGTTTTTACTCAAGAGCACTGGTCTGGATTGTAGCTTTGATCCTGTTTGGATTGTCGTTGCCGTTGGTATCTTGCGTCGGCGATGGTTACTCGGAGAGGATACAGCATGGGGAGCCACATCTCTGCCGAAGGAAAACTCCAAGTCCTTGGCTTTGGGAGCCATGATACCTTTATTCCAGTATCCGTCCAGGGTTTCAGAGACGGGAATCTTGGCCTTTTTCAAGGCCTCGAGCTGCCTCTCCTTGTTGAAGTCCAAGATCGTTGTTTGGGTGTCCCGCTTCTCCTGCAATTCACCCTGCGACTGAGATAATCGTTTCAGAAGATTGTCTTGCTCCTCATCGGAACTGTTGACAAGATCGTCGTCGTTGCCTTGGGTTTTGTCAGGATCACCTTGTCCCAGATCGGGTATACTCTGCTTTCGTTCGTAGAATTGATCGACAAGATTGCGAGCCTGTGCGTTTTGGTTGTCGCTGTTGACGTGGTTGGATGATGGATCCTCCTCTCTTTCGTACTGTAATTGATCCTCTTCTGTTAGCTTCTTCTCTTCTGCCCCCAATCGCTTTTGCTTGTATTTGTGTCTCAGAACTGTTCTGGCTCGGTGCAGTACGGCATTCCCAATATCCGGCTCGTCACGAAAATGGAACCTTCTTCGCTTAAAGTTTTGCTGAATATTCCCCCATTCTGCAGAGCGTTTCTTTTTGGCTTGATTGATTTGATATGCCAATGCTTTATGTTCTCCTGGCATAAGCCGAGGCTTGAATGCGTCAAACTCTTTCTGTTGGTTGTCTTCTTTGGATACCTTGCTAGTCAAGAATGGATTCTCAAAGAGAGTCGGAACATGTGCGTTGTCTTCATCATCGTCGGCTTCGGTCTTGATTGCAGATTGCTGATTTTTATACAAGGCATCCAGTAGAGACGTGGCTGTCTCATTGGCGTCATTATCAAAGACTTGGTCTTCTTCATCGCTATCATCAGCAGGTGCCAACAGCTGGAGCAAAGCTGAATTTTGAACCTCTTCTTCTCGTTCTTCCGCTAGAGCTTCAACCTTGGGTTGATCGCTACTCTCATCTTCATCCTCATCATAATAATAGCCACCTTGGCCTCCTTCTCCATCATACTCATAACCATCCGTCTCTTCGTTGTTCTCGTCAGTCTTCCTTTTGTCGGTTTCTTCGTCGCCACCACCACCACCTTGCAAGCCAAAGATAAAATCTCTCAAACCGATGCTACTAGACATGGTGGTTCACACCGACGCAATCCTGCTATCATTAGATCAGTGCATCGACCACTCTTCACCACAACACTAAAGTCGAAGTCGCGCCATTGAATTGAGAGGACAAAGGAGTGCAACAGCAGTGTGGTGTTTGCATCTTGGCATTCTGTGAGAATGGTTGGTTGTGGTGGGAGGATTCCGTTACTAAAAGCATTATTGCGAAGATTTAAAAGCAAAACCTAATCAAACTGCACCACCAGTACCGGTACTGGTACATTACTAGCTAGTAGTTATTAGGTACTAGTACCAGCCGGTGACGGTAGCCAGCAGCTAGCCATCTGGCTCGGTAGCTACAGTAACTAGTTTTAGAAGGCGAACAGTCTATTCTTTTGGTAAAAGACGCACGAAAGATGGTCCCTCCAAGACATCCAGAAGCTGGACAAAAGGATTGCCAAGAGTTATCCTTCCATCTGCCCGGGTCATGCCCCCATACCGTTCGGTAGGGATACAGACTAGGAGTTGGTCTCCTGGTATACTTCCAAATGGACATTCTACATTGACAACTAACACTCTTTTGAAAATGGACTTGGGTGACACATGGGCTTTGACCCATTGGTGCAAGAGAATGCCAGGAGATGCGCCGAGAGTTGCATGTTTCCCCAGCGACACATGGACAGGGCTGAGCCTCGCACCATCAATGAAATTTGTGGGAATCTTGAGGGTCACATAGCCCTTGTAAAACTGTGTGTGTTTTGGAACGGGTGGTTGAAAGAACATCGGTATTTGGAGCTGAAACGATTGACCATTGATGATATTGTTGGGTATGGATACAATCCGTTTCATCACAGGAATAGCAGTGTTTGAACTTTGATACACGTAATTTGTTGGGATTCTGATTTCCAGCTCTTGACCTGCTTGTGCTTCCTTGGGACAGCGTACATGAACTGTCTGAAGCCCGTCGAGTACGTCTATCACGTGGACAGGAATCACTTGTCCTTGGCTGTCATTGCTGGAGATCTGAACTCGATAAGCTCTGAAGATTTCCTTTTTTCCTTTTTCAATGATTGTTTGGGTGCTAGTAGGGGTGGTATTCTCTTTCTTCTGCACGAACTCTCCACCCTTTACTACGTCAGGCGATTGTAGTGGCGGTGGTGGTAGCGGTGGTGGTGGATTTTGAAAGAGTCTAGTCGCGTCTTGGAACATGGCATCCAACTCCTCTGGCGTGGGTGGTAGTGGTTTAGGTTTGTAGTTTGGATCGAATTGATGAGCCACCTCATTGTAAGCTTCCGTGGCGGCTTGTTGCCTTCGCAGTTCTGTCTGACGCTGTTGGTATGCGAATCGGTGACCCGTTCGTTCTTCCTCCATGTCATCGTCCATGTGAAGGGAAATGCCACGGTGGAATGGCGATGAAGTCATGGTACATCGAACTCCCTCGATTTCGGCTTTCTTTGAAGTGTTGCTAACCGACTATTTACATGGATACCTCTGCATGGATACTGTACACTCTTGGATCCTGATGATACTACATGTAGTACCGATACCTCGCAACCCTGCACGCAAGTGGCTCTCGAAAAAGTGATGTGGAACAGAGTTCTCATTTGTTGGCTCTAACTCTAACACACAATACTGTACTTTTAAGTACGTACTAGTATTCTTAACATTGAGTGGTGTACCCCTCATGCTTATTGGTCTTGACAATACGATATTCAGAAGCACCAAGCTTGCATCCAGGTTGACTCGACTCCCCTGATGAAGGCATGTTTTTAAGTCAGCGGGAGCTGCGATACCTCGGCAGAAAGACAAATAGCAGAAAGAGGATCTGTTTGAGATTGCACCCTTCTTTCAAGGTAGCCCTGGCGACAACACCCGACTTCGTCGTGTGTTGCTTGCACCCTTCTTTCAAGGTAGCCCTGGCGACAACACCCGACTTCGTCGTGTGTTGCCGCCCGGTATCATTCCCTCATTATAACCTTCTTTTTAATTTAAGCTAGCCCTGGCGACAACACCCGACTTCGTCGTGTGTTGCCGCCCGCTAACCATAATTTACAGCTGTCACTCCCGTATGTACCTGTTTCTGCTGGCTTATTGTGTTGAGTGCACTAACCTTGAATAATCATGATTTATTCCTACCCCTAAATTTGTAGCACCTTCAATTTCCAGTTTTGTTGGCTTACGCCTATCTCTATCCCTATATTTTGGCTTCACCGGAACAGGAAATAGGAAATAGAAAATAGGAAATAGGAAATAGGAAATAGGAAATAGGATAAGTCAGCGGGAGCTGCGATACCTCGGCAGAAAGACAGATAGAAGAAGGAGGATCATGTTCGAGATTGCACCCATCTTTCAAGCCAGCCCTGGCGACAACACTCGACTACGTCGTGTGTTGTCGCTCGGTATCATTCATTCCCTCATTGCAACCTTCTTTATTAAGCTAGCCCTGGCGATAACACCCGACTACGTCGTGTGTTGCCGCCCGCTACTCTATAATTTACCAGCTGCCATTCCCTTATTGTAACTCTAACCTTTACAGCTCCTGCTGACTTATTGTGTTGAGTGCACTAACTTTGAATGATCATGATTTATTCCTAACCCTAAATTTGTAGAACCTTCAATTTCCAGTTTTGTTGGCTTATGACTATCTCTATCCCTATATTTTGGCTTCACCGGAACAGGAAATAGGAAATTCGGCTTTTTTTCAGCGTTGGTCTCCTGTTTCGTCAGTTTACTGGCTACTTGGATCCATATGATTCCATACCGGTATTGCAAATACATGCAATCCAGCCATTGTAGCCAACTACGGTACCGTAGGCAGAGAGTTACATCGATCCGTGACAGTGTCAACAGTACCGAACACACTCAGGTTCCGCTTTGCTGGCTACACTCCGTTGCCGGTATCTTGCATTGGATCCTTATGACAAATACATGCACAACCGAACATTATGAATCCACCCATTGTAGCCGGCTGAGGTATAGCTACATCGACGACAGTGGCAACAGTACCGAAAGTTCGGCTTTGCTCGCTACGGTTACCGGTACTTCGCATTGGATCCTTACGACGAATACATGCACAAAACCGAATATTGTTAATCCAGCCATTGTAGCCGGCTACCGTACAGTACATCGGTGACAGTATCAACAGTACGAACACACTCAGATTCCGCTTGCTGGCTACACTCCGTTGCGGTATCTTGCATTGGATCCTTATGACGAATAACATGCACAACCGAATATTATGAATCCAGCCATTGTAGCCGGCTGCGGTATAGCTACATCGACGACAGTGGCAACAGTACCGAAAGTTTGGCTTTGCTCGCTACGGTTACCGGTACTTCGCATTGGATCCTTACGACGAATACATGCACAACCGAATATTGTTAATCCAGCCATTGTAGCCGGCTACCGTACAGTTACATCGGCGACAGTATCAACAGTACCGAACACACTCAGATTCCGCTTTGCTGGCTACACTCCGTTGCCGTTATCTTGCATTGGATCCTTATGACGAATACATGCACAACCGAACATTATGAATATTGTCAATCCAGCCTCCACAAGCACTGTTCCCACGGGAAAATGGGTACCAGCACAGGAATCACCACCAAAACACTATGAAATAACACTGGAGGGGTGAATCCAGTAGTAGGATCCACTCTCTTGTGTGTTGTCGCGTAGCCTCCTCATGTTGCCATTCAATGACTCGACGATCCGTTCAGACTGTTGGTAGCTAGGGCTGGAGTTAACAGAGCCTCCTCCTCCGTAGCGGTAGCCTCTCCTCTTGCTGTTATCCAGAGCGATTGATCGTCGACAATGGGATTTCCTCGGCCGTCAGCAGTGCAGCAGAGAAAACAACAAATAGATATGAGTTTTGTTTTCTGTGCTCAACTGCAGACGACCGGAGACTTACCATTGTTTTTCAAATTCCACCAACTTGGCTGTCATGGGCGGAGAACTGACTGCCATCCCATGGTCCATAGGATTCAATGAGGGATGGCTTTCGCATCTGCACCGGAGAAGGACGGTTTGAGTGAGGCTTGGATAATAGAGATAATAGAGGTGCGATCGATCGATTCGAATAATTAAAACAACTCACCTGTTGACGGCTGAGCTCGGACTTCTCTCCTGTTTGCCATAGAAATTCAATGAGGGAGAGAAGTCAGCGCTGTACCTTCAATAACACTCTTGATAATAGATTCGATTGAATCGAATCGATCGATCGGCCGATTGGATAAAGCACTCACCATTGTTGTCGGCCAAGCTTGGATTTACCTCCTGTTTACCATACGAATTCAATGAGGGAGAGAAGTCAGTGCTGCGCCTTCAATAATGGACTTTCGGTGCGATCAGTTTATCCATTCGATTCGTTCCTCGATTCTTTCGTAAATCCTTAACCTTAGTAACTTCAACGGTTCCTTTATCCACGAATCGATCTATTTTTATCGAACGAGAACCTGTTACTTATGGATACACATGACCGTTGATTCTGCAACTGAAGTGCGGCTACTCTAATTTACACAGTAAACGCGGGCAAATCGATTTTGGAGTGCAACTGAGGGGGAAACCAAAAGGAGCGTGGTCTGGGAGACCAAATAGGAAATACCAAAAAAGGGGTAGAGGGCTCAGGCAGATAGACTGCCGAGGTAAAGGGGTTGAGAACTCAGGCAGTTTACCTGCCGAGGTAAAGCATGTTGTCAGTGCTTCAGCTGTGCTTCTACTGTAGTATGCCGTTCATCTAGTAGTCTAGTAGCTGTCTGGCTGGGTTCATGGCTTGGATCCTAGTAGTGCTTTTAAAAAATAGAAGGTGTCTTCTCTTGCAATTTTGTCTATTTCCTTTCAATTTATCTACATCGTCTGTTTCCTATCTACATCTGCTTCTTTCTTCTACTCGTTGTATGTACAGTGTGTCATGTTTGGAACAAGCATTCTTTTGTTCAATCTTGTTCCGCTTCATTCCTTTTTCACATCTCTTTAGTCTTTTTTCTCGTCATCCTTGTTGTCTTGCTCCGTCTTCTTGAAGATAGGTTCACCGGTGGTCGGGTCAATGAACTCAATCATGTCTGCGGAAGGCAAACGATCATTGACAGCTTGCGAGACGAAAGGGACCTTGTCCGGGGTGACACCCAGGAGCGAGCTCACGGCAGAGTAGCCCAAAATGGCCACCAATCCGACAAAGAGTGCATCACTGCTGAGTTCTCCCACCATGGGAGGAATGTTCAAACCCAATGCTTGTGTGGCACCGCTGGTCAAAGCTGCAATCAGTCCAGGGACGAACAGGGCGACATCCAAAAAGATGGCCTGTTGCATATTGAATCGCACCAGACGATTGATGGAGAGATTGCCCGAAAAGGCACTCAGGGCAAAAAACGCCAAGAAGCCACTGAAGGGGACGCTTCGGTAGAGTGTGTAGATAATGGCCAACGTCGCCACAACTGGGTTGCTTTCGTTCCCCGCCAAGAGGTATTGTCCAAACAAGAGACCATCCATCAAGGGGAATAGATAGGGAAGCACAGACACAGCCCTGTCCACGTTTGTTGGCTGCTTGTCGTTGATCAGTTCCATGGTGGACTCCATGAGCTTGGCCGTTTCAGCTTCTTGTTGGGCAGCCTTGGTTGCCTCTAGGGCCTTGCGTCGCTCCTCCGATGCCAAGGCTTCGAGCCGATTGCGGAATTGTTCGATACCGACAAACTCATCCTTTTGCAAAGCACCGTCACCGGAAGTGTCGAAGTCATCCATGAGGCGCTGAACTCGTTCTTCCTCAAGTTCCAGCTTGAAAGTCTTTTCCAAGGCCGCCTTGAGTTCGTCCACACTCAATTCTCCGTCCTTGTCCGTGTCGAATCTGTCAAACGCCTTTTCGATGGCACTTGCTCGTTCTGTGGCTTGTTGTGCCTCCAGTTCGGCGGCTTCTTGGCGCAGCTTGGCCGCCATGGCTTTGAGTCTATGTACCTCGTCATCAACGGCATCGGCAGCAGATGCCTCCGGGGTGGCCAAAAGCGGTCCCAGAGGAGAACGCGCATGCTTGGGATTTCCAGTTTGTGTTCGAAGCTGGAAAGGATCGAAACGTGGGCTGGCCTTTGGACCAACCGAGAAGGCATTGGTTGAACTGCTCAAGGCAGCAACTGTAGCGAATGTGGCGAGGGTAGTGGCGGAAAACTTCATTGTGGTGCTTGTAAAGATGGTATTCTTTTAGTCTGATGATTCTTGCTTTTTGATTGTTGGCAGTTTGTATTTGTGAGCTCAATTGCAAACGTTCCGCCCCAGATCGAATGAATTCCGCCAACAACGCCACTCGGCAGTATTACCACAGCGTACGATCGATTCATTCTCCACTGACACAGATTTAATTCTGTCAGCTGAACGAGCTGACAAAGACACAGAAACCGTCCTATGAGCTACAAGAGCTGATTATGCATAGACGTGTTGCCACAGCAATCCCATCTGTTCCGAATTAGAAGAGCGGTGAGGTGGAGAGGAAAGCGGTGTCATCAAGATCGACACGTTGAAACATGGATAAGATCTTAGTCAGAGATCCTTCGAAGAAATTCCAAACTGGAGCCTGTTTCGTGCTCGATCGAGCTGCCACCCAAACACAAAAAGAAAATGCTTTGGCGATCAATCAACGGACCAACGGCTTTTCCATTCTCTGGGTATCCACATGTTACCATGTCACACCTCACTGATTCGTACGGTACCAAGCAAGTCAAAGAACAACAAATACCATGGTTGTCCATGGCATTATCACCACCTCATCGTCTCCTCTTGACGATCATCCCTTCATCTCTTCTGCCTCTAAAGAAGAGTGGCGAGTGGGGGATCGCGTCATTGTACACAGCCTTCAAAAAGCTTCACACCTTAATGGGCATCATGGCTGCATTGGTGGCCCACCAAATGCCACGACTGGTCGATACCCCGTGGACTTTGATCTTCCAGGGGAAGCATCTCATCGCGTCATGGCAAAAGCCGCAAACCTGAAGCCGGAACCTTACATTCCTTTGAAGGACGACGACGAGGATCGTTGGAGTCCGTTCCATCTCGCAAATGTAAAAGACGGGATTTTGGAAGAAGCCGAAGGACGACCTCTGTGTCTCTTGCTGGATGCCATTCGATTCTTGGTGGGAAATGTCGTTCACCGAGACCCAAACCTCCAAAATGGCCTCGCTGACATAGAGAAACTGCGACACCAAGGGCAATCGGGTTTGGAACGGATTCATCATTACATGCAATCTGCCTGGTCGTATTGGGACCGCCATCTCGTCCAGGACGACGACGGCGGCGGTGAGATTCGACCCTCGATCTATCTCTTGTTACTGCAGTTCTTTGAGGAACTTCCCGCCGTCAATGACATGGCTTTGGTCAACATGCCTCCAGAGTTTCACGTGGCAAGGGCAGCATTGTACCATCGAACAGCCGTAGAAGGATGGGACACTCGAATCCATGCCGACTTTTGGGTGGTGGGGAGCAGCAGAGATATGGATGGTCAAGAAGACTCAGATGATGATGACGACGAAGAAGACGATGACGGAGGCACCTACTTGGTGTCACAGTTGAACCATCATTCCGTCTACAAGGTGTTTGGACTTCGAAACTGTTTGTCTCAAGCCCTCAAAACGTTTGACAACTTCAATGAAGACTCTGATGGAGATCCTGTTCTCCTCACAGTGACACTCCTACCGTGGTACGGTCGGCTTATTTACGACGGAACATGCACTCCAGCACATGGACACGAAGCACCCCCAGAAGTCGCAGGGGAAGGTCTAGCTGAACAGTTGAGACAAAATGTAATCATTGCGAGACAAGAAGGTCGAGTGGTAGAACACATTGCACAATTGCATTTGGATGCGGCCATCTTGGAGCAGCAGCAGCAGCAGCAACAACAACAACGAGAACAGGACGAACTCCAGCAGCAACGAGATGACGGTGAGGAATATCACGAGGAGGAAAACTGCAGGGAGCAGACTCCCAGACACTCACAACCACCAATTACGAGAAGAGAATTCGATCTCTTGCAACGGCTGGAAGATCTTCCCGTAGCTTCTGCCGACGAGGCAATTTGGTGCATGCGCCGAGTTGGATACACCGAAGAAGATAACCCAACACACGAGGGAGTCATCATCAATGGTGCGGCCTTGGCTGGTGGGGTCACGATTGGACCATTCGCTTGCTCGGCTCTGGTACCCTCAGCGGAGGATATTTTTCAAGCGCTAGTGTGTTATTGCATCGATGATGACGATAATGGCTCCAGCAATGGTGGTGAAAGCGATGTTGATGAACAAGAGAGGAAAGCGCTTCCGGCAGTGGTTCTGATTGATGATTTGAAATGTTTCGAGCGCGTTCAGTTCTTGGTGGAGAACTACACGCCAGACGATTTCACTCTCAAAGCATTGTACTACCCTCCTCCGACACGCGAAGAAACAGCTGCTGCTTTGATGGATCACAATGGGAACTAGCGGTATGTTTGTTGACACATCAGTTGAATTTGGTTTGGCTGCTATTAATAAATATCAAATCATGCAGTCACGGAGTCTTGCTTTCATCCATGGGCGCGAATAGAAGCAAGACATGGCAAACACTGAATAATACAAAATAATACATGAAGAAGATTCGTAACCAGCAAATCATGCTACTAGGATCTATAATGGTTCGAGCAGTGCCACTGAAAAAAGTAAAGACAAGACATGGAAGGGGAGATCAGCGCCACTAAAATTGCCCACTTCCGTAGAATCTTCTGCTTGAAAAGCATCTATCTGTTAGACAGCCTTTTCTAGGATTTCAGTAAGAGTGACTGATAAAGTCAATTTACGCTGAGCCTCAAATTTGCAAATATCTTTTGATTCCATGGATGATATCTCACGACTCTTTCATCCAACTGTCTCATCAGTGCTGGCTGTGTTTTCTCATTTCCTTATGAAACTTGGCCTTGTGCCTACAGGCCCCAAATATTTTATTGCATTAGCTGATGAGGAGGCTGGGATTTCTCTTTGAGGTTTCAGAGGTTTGAGGCATTCTTGGTTACCAAGGCAGCAGTTGAGGCAGGGTCTCAAAGGTCAGGACTTCAGGACTGCACTGAAATGGGTAGCCTTGCTGGAAATGATTTTCCTTTGGAGATCTTGGTTGAAATAGTCAAAGATGTGGAATAATCAAGCTGGCAAAAATGTCTAGTGTAGGGTAGGAGTCAGATCTAGATCCACTTCCATGTAGCACTTTCACATTGTAGAAGTAACTTTGACTCGATTCTAGCAGATTTGTTGGTTTGGTCAATGCATTTTGTCCCAATGTTGAGACAATTGACTTTATCCACAGTAATAAGGCAGTGTTGGTGCATGTCTTGGCTTGGTCCTAGCTAGGCAGCAGTTTGCAAAGTTGATTTGAGGTAATTTCAAGTATCTGTGAAAGCCAGGACATCGTGGGGTCAAAGCGAGGAACATCTTCTCCTCAGTCCTCAAGCCTGCGTCATAATGAATGAAAGTGAGTCACGCATGCATGTATCCAGTCCCTGCACCTTGGGGTAACAAGATTGATTCTTGGAAAAAAGCTATAAACAGTTTTGTTAAAATTTACAAGATAACCAGCTCTCTTAAAGTATCAGACGATGACTCTGTCTTAAGACGGCTGTCTTATAGAGTATAAGACCGTCTTAAGCATAAGACAGTCATTGTCTTTAAAAGACGGTCAGTGTCTTATACATAAGACGGCGTCTGAAACATTCAGGGGGATGTGGAGATTGTTTAGTCATTAAATTATAAAACTACTCCATCCTCCTGACACAAAAAAGACATCGTCTTAATTAAGCATAAGACAATTACTTCTTTAAGACGGTCATCGTCTTAAGTTTAAGACGGCTGTCTTAAGACAGAGTCATTGTCTTGTGCTTTAAGACAGCTGTCTGAGTGGGACTCAACTTTTATTAAAAGAGTGATTTTCTTTTTTCCAAAAAGAGTTTTTTCAATTACCTCTGTTTTACCTGGAGGTGCTGTGGCATCAAATTAAAATTCTCGTACGGTCGATCATCAGCGGTAGCTGTAGCTCTAGCGCTACCGTAGCATAGTCCAGTACCAATACCGTACACAACGTAAAACCGCCGGAATGTCTCCCCTATGATGAATTATGATGAATTTTCTAAAACTTGATGAATTGGTGATGAATTAAACCATTCATCATGAATTAATGATGAAAGCAATTACATTGGTGATGAATTCATGATGAAACTTTGAATTCATCATCAATTCATCATGAATCCGTGATGAAATTTATTGAAAATACAGCGTGCATTTGTGCTGCAATGTGATGAATTTTGATGAAAATAATTGAATTAGTGATGAATTTAAACATTCATGATGAATTAATGATGAAAGTATTGAACTTGATGATGAATTCATCATGAGCGATTTGAGTAATGATCAATTCATGTTGAGATTTTTCTGGTAAAATCGCCAAAAGTCAGTAAAGCTATCGGTAGACTGGTAAGCACAAAGCTGCTGTTGTTCAGCAAACGCAACAAAGAAGGCATCGCAGAATTGGAGGAACAGCATAAGTCACCCTTCTTATCGTCGAGCAGTCATAGGTGAACCCAAACTCTTCCGCTTGGGCAGCGGTTCTAAGGTAAAAAGACGCGCAAGACCATTCCTGCGGCGGGATCGAGGTCACAACCTCGAAAGTCTCTGCGGCTATCCGTTCTCTGGTAGAAGGCAGCAGAAGGAGGCCTGAGCATCGCAGCTCCTGAGCATCGTTGAAACAATACGCGCAATACCGCGAAATCCAAATAATAATAATATTTTATTGGGTTCAGGGGTACTTTTCATCTGTTCTGTGGAAGGACCTGAGAATTCTGTGAATGCGTCATCAACCATCCAGATCAGGCTTATGTGGACTAGCAGTGCTCCTGCGTGGTGGTGGAAAAAAGGCTATGATGTGTTGGTGATGCCACGAAAGGGTTCTTCTTACGAAAGTGAAGAGTCTCAACCAATCAGAGGTCTCTGAAGAAGCTCTGAAGAACAAGGAACAAAAAACGAAATAGCTTAGGTGGCATTTTGACACGCAGCAGCTCGCGCATAATAATGAGCTGATCATGTAAGAGCTCCACGCTCCACGCAACTATTATAGCTGGATTAACTGTACGGGTAGGCCGGTAGGCGCACAGCGCTTGGCGCTTGGCGGCACCACAGGTCAACAGGTCAACAGAAAAAAAGACTTTTCACACCATGCTGCTATTTTCATGGTATTTACTTGAAATCAGGTGAACTGGGGAGACTTTTTGTGTAGGCTTAACTAGTGTACCGGTACTCAGTACTTATAGTTCTGGTAGGTGAAATATATGGTTATATCTTAGTACTAGTTATACACCTATGGCCCTAGATTTTTTTATATCATTACTTGAAAATCTATATAAAGTGGGCCATGCCGCCTTCCTTTTTGGCGCGATAAAGATACCAAAAAGGCCACCACGGTAAACGATACACCAACCAGATGCCTGAATCAAGAGCCCTCAATTCGAGAAATGCAACCCCAAAAAGAAACCAGTGCGACCAACCAACAACACAATGGCCAGCAATACGCCCAATCAGACTGGAATGGCCACAAATGACAACAGAGGGGCAGCAAGGGCATATGAACAGAGCAGAGGTGACTAGTAACTTGGCGACTGACCAGAGCTCAGACCATAAACTTCGGAAGTGTCCAGACGAGCGGAAGGATCTGCTTTGGACTTCTTCTTGCGCAATGGAGTCTCAAGCAGAATGTCCTTCACCGCATCCTTGCTGCAAACAGAATAATCGAACTGACAGGCAACTTGGGAAAGACAGTCGGTGTACCGACGCTTGCCAGCTGGGGTAGGACTCTTGATAAGCTCGCTGTCATCCTTGTCGTCAAGCTCCACAATCTCATCTTCCTTTTCTTCGTCTTCCTTTTTGGTGGCAGCTTCGTCTTCGTCAGTATCAAAGTCAGAGTCATTCTTCAAGCAGGACAGGCCTTCAATGTGAACCTTCACTGATGGAGCACTTTCGTCATCGTCATCGGATTCGGCAATGGATCCATCGTCATCAACAGTGAGATTCAAGCAAGCCAAATGGCGATCATAAACCTCGCGGTACACATCAATGTTCCAGTCAAAGGCGTCACAGAGAATGCGAGTCAAGGCATGATGGTTCTTGGGATGGGGAAGAACCAGTTTCATAAGAGTGAAATGATTGAGATCTTCCAGATCTGGATGGGCGTTGATGTCAGGATTCAAGCAAATTCGGTACCCATCCTTGCCATACTTAATCCACCAGAGGCCCTCAATGTCTTCGAGAGTCAGCAACTTCAAGGGAGGGTATTTATTCCATTTGCGCTGCATGTTGACAATTTTAACTTGGTTGTTGGCATGACCAACTAAGTCGAAACCAGCAGCAATGAGGTCACGAATCGTATGCTTGACGAAAGTCTTTTCAGCATTGTAATGAATCACATCCCGATGACGGATCTTGTTGGGAGGGGAATAAGGAACGTCGACGAGGATCTCTACGGAACCATCATTGGCAGAGGCAACAGGCGAAATGGTCTTGGACGAAGGATTCTCCATCTTGGAACAGGCGACTGATTTATGGACAATCAACAGGAACAATAGACCTCGATTCTCTGGAACACCGCAAGTGGAGTTACAGTTGGAGTACAGTTGGAGTACAACGGTGGAAGAACCAAGGACGATCCAATGATCTCAAAAATTGATCCATTTGTACTTCAACTCGGACGTTTTGCAAAGGAAGGAGCGATACATCCGCAAGGAATATTGAGTTCGGAAGAATGGAATGAAAAACTGCATCTGCCCCATCTTTCGTACCAACAGGAAAGCCTCGAAACTAGCCCAATAGTACATGAATGCGAAGTAGTACACGAATGCGAAATACGTGCTCTAGTAGACCAATTAAAACTAGATGATACCAGTACGGGCAGGATTTTCCTTGCCAGATGCTTGAGCTGGTAGGGCCTTTTCAATACGCCCAACAAGAGCGCGAACATGTTCATACGCAGAGGGATTGCCATTGCTTGTACCAAGAAGCATTTGTCTGTAACGCGACGTGTTGTCATGGAAAGCGATAAGTCTTTCACGCAGTTCTGACTCGCTGCTGGTTTTGACAAGATGGTTCATGTCGCGACCCCTTGGACAAAGGTACAAGTACTGAATAGCACTGCCAAGTTGTTGATGGTTGAGGGTGCCGATGTAGTCCTCTACCAAATCCAGCATTGCTGGAAGGCAACGACGTTTTCCCCCTTTTCGTGATGGCCCACTCTGGTACATGCGTGCAGTGTCTCCTCTCGCAGCAACCTTTGCTGCCGTTCCTCTGGAATTGGCACTGGTCTTTCTTTGAACTTGTAGCGTAGAGAGCAATAGGTCGTACTTGCTACGAAGATAGGTAGCACATGGGCAATTATACCCAAGGTGCTTGAAACAATCTTCGCAATCTCCCACAATAGTACCGTCTTTCCATTGCAAGTGACATACGGATCTTGTGGCTGATACCATCGAGTCAGCCAGTTCCTCATTAGAGACTTGTACTCCTCTTGGATGGACCTTCTGAAATGGTCTGACATCACCATCCATTGCGGCTTGGATCAACCGAATACGACGTCTGTCCAGGGGAGTGCCTATCTTGTGTCGTAGATTGCCGATCCAACCAGATGGCTTTCCAGTAGAGTGACAACCCAATTCAATAATGTCCATACCCTCACGCAGAAAGGCTGTAATGGTGACCATGAGATGAGAACACGTCTTCGGAAACTCGATCGTGCATGGGTCTGATCGTTCGATTGCATCATCGCGGAGAAGTCTTGGGGCGGTGTAAATAAGAAAGGCAGGTAGTGAAGCATTCTTTGGGCAGTCGGCACAGACACCCTTTATGCCATGCCTGTTGAAGCTTTCATTGGGACAGTTGGATGGATAAACCCCACACTCGCCGCTGCAGGAGTAATTCCAATTCCAGGTAGGATACCGGCAGTATTCTTTTTCGAAGTGTTCTGCCGCTGCGTCTTCGCCGCGTTCTCGCCAATTGGTCATGTACAGGTCCGTCACAACTCTTCTCTGTTCGATAGTCTTGGTCATGGCAATGCCCGTAATGTGCCAGTATGCTGTACCCTTCATGGATCCATGCGGCTTGTCCTTTCGATTCGCCGCAAAGCTGGGATCGACGATTTTCTTCGCATACCCAGTCTTCTTCCCAATGGCTTGCATCACGTGAAAATAGCAGTTCAGCACTGCTTCTTGATGGAGTTGGCCATCATCACTGTCGTCGTCACTGTCATCGTGGTTTGTGTTGTTCTGTGACATATCTTGTGTGAAATGAAGGGAGTGACAGTGCTGCGACTGAGCTGTAGGCCTGTGAATTGGGGAAATTCTAGCGGCGACTTTCGTATCTGCTACTTGCCATGGGTCGCAAAGGTCAGGATGCTTCTTGAAGAACACGTGGGAAGAAACGAAAGTGTCAGCATCATCAGAGGTTCCCCAGTCAATGGAAAAAGGAATATTGAATAGCCGACAACAGAGATCTCGCAGTGCATAGAGTGTCAAGCAGTAGGGGTGGAATCTTTCCCCACCAGCGCGGAGGTATACGATTGGTCGATATGATGCTGTGACGTCGTCACGAGAAGGTTTTCGTAACTTCACGGATACCGATCCGATGGTGATGAGGGTGCTTTTATCACGGATCATGCCTCCTGTACCATCAGCACACAACTGCCTTGTGCCCTTCCGTCTCTTCGCAAGATGCATAAGCTGGAAGAGGCCTGAAGGACTAAAGATAATGAAGGCCCCTTCAATACGTTCATCGAAATTTGGCAAGTTCACACTGTCATGTGTAGTGACCATCTTCTTGTACCGCTGCATCAGGCTTCCACTACCGATGTCATATACCAGCATCTGCTCTGGCGATGTCTTAAGGGCACTCGCGAACTCTTCAGCTGAGTTGTAGTCAGCTCGTACTGTGTACGTGGAGGGAATGACAAGCTTCCACTGCTCCAGAACTCTGAAAAGTGCGTCGTTGCTTCTGATTGCATTGCTCCCCTTAAGCTGGGACTTTACAAACACTTCCCTTCTGTAAGCAATATGATTCCGTAGTTGTTTCGTGAGATTGTCCCTTTCAATCCTATTAGACACCAGGTGCTTATGGGTAGCGTACTGTTCATCAGTGTCTTCACGTATGATGTGGGTGACCGACTTTCGTACATCGTCTGCTGTAATACGCAGGATGCATCTTCCCCTGGCTACCTCCGCATCAATGTACTTTTTGGCTAGTGCTAGTATGACTGGTGGCATGCCGTACTGGTCCTTGTGGTGCACTGGCTGCTTCGAAACCTCGTGGTTGTGTTTCTCCATTCCCTTGCGAATGTAATTCCTATATCTTTGGTTCGGATGAGCTTTGCCTTCGAAGTCTCGAGTTTGAGCTCGCCAATCACACTTCCATTCGTAGGATTCGAGGTTGCCAAATCTGCTCATTCCCCTTGCTCTACAGCAGAACTTGTAACATCGTACGCCATTCGAGAGGGTGTAGGTGCCATCAGCTACCACGCATTGTTGCCCATCATAAAACCCTCCATACTCATCGAAGAGTTGGGCCTTTGCGTCTTCCCTGCTGGGGCATGCATAACACTTGGGGTCTTCGAGGTATTCCCCGTGTTTGATGGCGTCTTGCTTTCCTTCAGATACTGGTACGGCTACATTGCTAGCACCACGGGGTACGTACGGTGCAGGGACTCCATTGCTATGGGATGGTACCACTGGAGTTGTTTCGTACTGGTATACATATGGGTGAGGGTACGTGAAAGTGTTGGGCCCAAAGGACCCGTACGGTGGATAGTAGCCATGATTATAGGTACCGTTGTACGTGCCGCTCACTCTGGAAAAGCCATTTTGTTGTGGCAATAGTGCACGTCCGTGGGCATAGTAATGGTAGGGTGGTGTGGGGTATCTACTGGCGATATGCCCCGAGCGATTGGGCGATTTCCCATTGCCTCCTCGCTTATTTGGCGGCTCCATGCTATTGCGCACAGTCTAAATGTAATCTATAGCTGCTAAGTCTGGCACTTGTATCTAAAACGTCTGCCTATGTATTGCTTGGGAGTATCGCCAGCTGGTGTTACTCGTATATTGCCATCTCCAATTTCTTTTTGGGCGATTCCTTGTCGCAAACAGCCGCATTGGGTGGGCTAAACAGCGATTTCCAACCATGTAATTTGTTGTTCCACTCCAAATTGTGAGTATCCTCCCCTATCCGCCAGCAGGACTCCGTCCTGGCAATGCACATTGTCGCCTTCCTGTCTCCTTGCTACTCTGGCGTTTCTTCTTGCTTGCTCTTGCCGCCAAATTTCTTGAGTTTTTGGGTGCTGCTACTCCTTCGCCCTTCATTATCTTTCACTTTTCTTGTCTCAATGAAGTTTGCTATCCTTTCCTATCAACCCCGTCGGCAATGGTGTCGTCCTCTTCCGCTAAGTTCATGGTGGTCTCTTCCTCTTCATGATGGCTGGTCGCTTCCTCTTCCGATTGGGTTGATCTTTGTTGTTGCTGTGTCCGGTGCATGTCACTGCTGGCAATGGTGCATTTGGAGGGTATTTTGGGGGTTGCATCTCTGACTTGCCGCATTTTGGAAAATTGTTCACATGGTAAGTGATACCCCAGCTTCATTCGTGCTTTTTCCTGGTCGCCTGCCTGACCACATGTGTTTTCCATTCTTTGTGCGCAGGCAGGCCATCCGGCCTATGTGCAAGACCAGGAGTTAACAACTCCCGAAATATATATTATCCCGTCCATGAATCAGCTACTAGATCTCATAGCTTACAAGTACATGTACAAGCTATATACAGCTGTAACTAGCTAGTACTCGAATCGAATGATGTATCAATGGCACAGATAGAGCAGCCACAGACACAAAGGCAGACTGGCAGACATGGGTTTGATATTTATCCGTGCCCTGCAATGCGGTCTCAATCTTTCAAACCTTCTGGATTTGCAAGACCCTGTTCTCTTCGGACAATTATCTATCTTAGCAAAAAGACAATACAGCAGCAAAACAGGAGAAGTAGGCAAATGTTCAGAGTAAGTTTTGTACAGAACCATGCATAATCAGCTTACAACTGCTTCGGTGGAACTCAGAATTCCATTACAAAGCACTAAACCACAATTAGATGGAGAGATAATGAAAAATCCAAATGATTCCCAGTCAAGTGTGGAACCAGCTGGATGACGATGGAGATCACCATAATCCTTTCTTTAGATTCTGTCTAACCTGCGTATCTTCTTTATAGAATTCAAAAACGACATGTTCGCTCATCCAGACTCAGAATGACGATTGGCCTTCTTCGTCTAAAAACATACTCTTTTACTATAGAGCGGTCACCTGAGTTTGGCAGATATTCATCACTGAGCGATGCCTTCGCTGTGTGCCACGCAATTGGTCTCAATGGTATGAAGAAGGGTATGTTGTACACTCTGGCACAGCCCAAGCGCCACGTATGAGTGAAAAAGAACACAACCCAGACAATCTGGGACTGTCCACAAGAGCCTTGGAGGGCGGCTTTCAAAGGGGTATCAAGCCTGATCCTTCATACGGCCACTGAATAAAAAGGACGCTTTCGAGATCCTTCTGTTTTCCCTACGAAGGCATCCGTTGAAATGACAGAAGAAGTACTGCAAAACCGATTTACAATTTCAGGTGCTTTCATCGAAAGAATAGAAGGCCTCTTGGGTATCTCACGAAACTTACGCCAGCAGCAAAGACACGTACGCGGCCAGTTGTCAACATCTACCTACTGCAGCTACGCACAATCTACAGCTGTGCCGAGATAGACGCTCTGTGCCGGCAGGAACGCTTGTGATGTGCTCAGAGCTCCGTGTGAGCGGCTCCGCATCCCTTTTTCTGTTTTGGACTCTTTCTTGTCTCACAAATTTGCTTCTCCCCAAACCAAAACAGCAGCCATCATAAACTGCAAACAACAGCACATAAAAACAAAGAAAGATGAACACAGACTCTTATCCCATGAACAACATTGTGGCTCCAGGCGAGCATGATTGCCTCTCTGGACGCGGCGGTCACACCATCCACTGGAGCGGTAAGTAAACAACTGTGGTGAAATCATTACGATCTGCGAGGTATACCGTGTCTTATCATCATTGCCTTTCTGCCAACTTCAGGAAACATCAAATTCCGTAACCTTGTCGAACAACACCGCGAACGATACCACGCTGCCTCCCGTGTCCAAAAGGGAAAGGTTGTGGCTGAGGTTGTCCAGATCTGGCGCAAAATGACACCACCCGGTCGCTTCTTGACTCTTACCGACCCCAAGTTGGGAGATGCCAGTGCCTGGCACGACATTGGCGACAAGTCCGCCCAGAAGAAGACCGCCAAGCGCCTCAGGGAAGGCCACACCTCCACCATGACCACCGCCCCCTCTGCCTCCGCTACTGTTGTCAGCAGCGACGACTTTAGCAGTGACAGCAGCATCAGCAGCCACAGTACCAGTTCCAACAAGCGCAGCATCCGCCGAGTCTCCAACGAATCCATGGAGAGAGCCGCCAAGCGAGTTCGCCTTGAAATGAACGCTGAAGAAGAACAAGTCCCCATGATGAACCTCCTCCTCGAAGATCAGGTGACCGAGGATGATTTTGAACTCTTGGATGTCTCCACTGAAGACTTCAAGAACTTGGACAGCTTGTTCGAAGAGACCACCAACGACAACAACAACAACAACAACACTGTCAAGCAGCAGCCAGTCGTCAGCAAGGCCAACTCCATGGATAACTTCCAGGATTCCTTGTTCTCGCTGACTCTTCCAACTGCTGCCGCCAAGGTCAACTCTGCGAGCTTTGGATCTCCTCTGTTGCATGAGATTGCCGTCTCCATCCCTTCCGCGGCTGATCTCACGGAATACAGTCTCTTTGATTAAGCTCATGGGCTGCACTGTTAATAACAACATTTGATGGTTGGGCGGGGTCTTGGAAAGCATGTCAGGTCAACATCAAGCGCTTCAGCATTGTACCACTGGTGCTCACACTTGTTCGATATATCACAAGAGTTCCAGAGCTGATGCACTAATGAATGCTTTCCATATCCCATCCATCAAAATGACCAACCTGGTTCCTCCACATATACTGTATCCATACCCTGGAGTGAACAGCAACAATACTATTTCTTCCTCTCAATCTCTCTACCTCCTCTCCGCTTTTGTCAATATGTAAATACAACAACTATAATAGACCAATACTGCACACTTTCCGCTTGTTCGGTCAGCTCTTACAATAGACTACCTCTAGGTGGTGACAGACCTCTAGCAGCAAACAAAACCCGAGCGCTGGGGGACCTCCAAAACACTAGCTAGCTAGGAGTTGTCAATGAAGCAAACTATTCGTTATTAGGCACCAGTCAGAAGAGTTCACATTTAAATTTTTCCCAACAAGGCTTCAAGGCAGAAGAAGGTACTACATGTAGCTAGCTCAACTAGTAAGAAGCAGCAAAGGCTCTGAGCCATCCAGCCCTTCCAGTGAGCATTCAGCATGCAAAACTTCAGCCCATTCTTGGCCGGTGTGGCTGCCCCCAGACTCCAGAATCAAGTAAAAGAAGCAGAAAGCAGAAGGTAAATCTACTAGGAGGGATGTCGAGGTCACCGGTACAGGCACCACCAGTCCACCAGGAAGCATGCCTCCGGCAGCGCTGAGCTCTGCGCTGAGCTCTGCGCTGGGCATCTATGATGGTACAATGTACCGTACCGGTACCGTACTGCTGGCAGCTCAGCAGCTTAGCGAGCCCTTCAGCACCGGGAACTTCTTCCGCTACATTATCTGATAAGCATTCATAGTTGCGAAACCCAGGCAACCAGCCGTACTGGAGACAAGATCAGAACAGGGCGAGGACATAGACCCGCATCCCTACTTGAGCTGGCTGGACCCTTTGTTGACTAGTTGACAGTGCATGTTTCTGGTGCTCCGCAATCCGCAAGACGCAAGGACCCGTGGCATAAACCTATTTACAAAAAATTGAATGGGCTGAAACGCAGCAAGAGCTTGCCACCCATACCACGATCTGTCGCAACTGTAGAGCGCTGATTCCATGATGAATGATCTTTCATTTTATTAGAAGTGGTACCGGACGCTGTACCGGTTCTGTGGTACATACCGCTACGGGTATGGAAGCAATGACATTGTGACTCAAAAAACAATATTGTTCATGAAGACGGGTCTGGGAAAAGAACACACGCACAAAAAGCCTCATCAGTCACAGATATCTTAGCTGGATTGAGTAGGAATTAGTAGGAATGTTGGTTTTGTCCTGTGACCATTGTCTAGAATAGCTTCAGTAATATCGTTCTATTGTGGATACCACCAATAGTGTCGAGCACCTGCCACTGTCACTTTTTGTGCTCTTCTTTGTTTTCACTGATGAGAGTCGAGAGAAAGCTCTGACAAAGTCTGACAGCTGTCGGACATCCATCAACACGAACGACACGAGCTCGACATGACAGCGTCGCTGCAAAAATATAAAGTCCAAACGACAGGATCGTGAATGAATGGTAACCGCAGTCTTGAGATCAGTCCTTCCAAGAAAGAAGTTTGATATCCATCACAGCCACACACACAGCAGCAAGCAACACCCGCGTTGGACGTTAGAAGAGGACAACTGCATCTTGGGAGTGGATCTTTGTTTCCAATTGTTGCTTTTTGCTTCTCCCATGCAGTCCTTGATTCGATTATCTTCGCAGCTTGGGCGGTGGCAGTTCGATCCAATCCGTAGGAAGGCCACCCTTGGCTGCTACCCGAATCGAGGATTTGCTTCACTCACCGTGCTGCATCCCCCCGTCTTGAATCAGGAGTCCGCTTGGGATGTGATGGTCAGTCGCAGTACAAGTGTTGCTCTACTTGGAAGCTTGTGGGAAGGAATCTCTACTTGGTTCATTAAGCGAACGTTTCAGCCGTCAATTATTCGAAAGAGGCGTAAGCAGGGATTTCTGACAAGGCAGAAGACGGTTGGCGGCAGGAGAGTGCTGAACCGAAGACGCGCCAAAGGAAGGAAGAGGCTCGGCGGATGCTGAATATTCCAAGAAGCTTTGTCTCTCAGGCAATTACAAACAGAGTCTTCCGCGTGTAGTACGTGAGCTAGTACGTGTAGTTGGTTCCCATAATAGTTGGTTCGAAGTACGAAAAATCATGTTATCCCCAGTATTACCAAATATGCTGCACGTCTTACCAGGCGAAAGACTAGCTTTGTGTTCGTGTGCCGATGGAAGTACCGTGGGTATATCACGGGTAGGCTACCAATACATGGCAGGCTTTTTAACAGTTTAACTTTTACTTCGCAGCTTTGGAGGCCTCGGCAATTGCTTTCTTCAAAGAATTGGTGATACCATTCACCGCCAGGGCTTGCTCACAACACACAGTCAGCTTGCCAACACCGCTTTCAGAGCAGGCAACCAAAACAAACACAGGGTCACCACTGGCGGGTAGACATCCAACAAAGCGAAGGCCTTCCTTCAGCTTGTCTGACATAGAAACAGGGGTAAAGCTGGCATGCTTCAGGATCCAATGTGTTGTCAAGAATGAAGGGTTGGCCAAAGAGAATGATGCGTCCACTCTGTTGAAGCCTTGTAGCTTCGCCATGCCACTGCCAAAGTCACTATCGCTTCTTTGACAAGACTGCATCAGATGCACCAAGGGGGGTCGCACCTCCACTGGGATGCTCCCACCATTGAACTTGATGTCGAACTTTGCCTGCAACGATTCGTCGCGGTCTGAAGGGCTCGCAAAGTCAATGCCCACCATGACAGACGACATCTGACCTTGCCTCAATTGCGCAATCTCTCCGGGTACAACTACCTTCTTCGGGCCGATATGAGACGACGACGTCGCAGATGATCGTTGCAGGATTCTCAGGCGCCTTATGACGCCTCCATCCGCTTTCCTGTTGGAGAAAGAGGACACTCTTGGTTAATGACAATGTAACTTGCACTCAACGTGAAACAGAGGGTTCACTTACTGGTTCTCAAACCGCACTTGAAGACATACGGTGCTAGACTTCTCTGCCGCCATACCCAGCAGCTGAACTTCACGTGTCTTTGTCTTGCCTCGAAGATATCGCACCTTCACCGAAAGCCCGCCGCTGTGCTGTGAGCGCACCAATTCAAACCATGCGCTAGACTCCTTTTCAATGTTTGGCTCTCCGTTGTCACTCGCGTCCACAACGATTGGCTCAAGAACGAGGCCTCTCAGATCGTCAGCCACAGATGACGCGGTCGAACCATTCGTCTTGGTGCTGGTATGGCTTGTCATGTGTTGCAGTTGGGGTGCTGGCGTCCCGTCCATGGGAATGAGGTTGCCTACATTACCAAAACTGTTAGGTTGAGCGTTCGCCTCGCCTGAAGACGAATCAGAGTCCGACGAATCATCGGAAGACGAGGACTCGACGGTTTCTGGTTGAGGAGCAAATGGCATTTCGAGATGCTGAGCGGCTGATGGTGATTGATGAGTAACTGGCATGCCACCAAATTGCTGTCCCGAAAAAGGCAGTGGCTGCTGAACCTGAGAAGCAAAAGGCTGGATTGGCATTGTTGGTGCATTATCGTCACTGCTTTCATCCGAGCTTGTCGATTCACTATCATCCTTGTCGGACGTCTCATCATCCGAAGAATCGCTGTCGCTGTCTGACGAATCGCTGCTGCTACTGCTCTCATCATCCGTATCTGATTCATCGTAGAATCCTGCACCATTTGCCTTGGTCGCACCAGCGACGTCATCAGCTCCTGCCGAGGAAGGAGTTTGTGGGTCTCTCACAGACGATGGACTATCTTCGGAGGCCCACGGCGGCAGTGGTATGTAAGCTGCCCTTGCCCGGTGACCAACGAGGCTACTCAATGTGCCGAATCGGAAGTTTCCCCCGCTTTCTCCCATAGCCGCTCGCTGCTTGAAGTGGACATCTTCCAACGGTAGCGACGATGGTGCTGGTTTTGGCCTGAGAAACACATGCTGCAGGGTTTCAATAGTCGGTTTGCAGGCGATTGGTCCCATTGGCAGCCCCTCCAGAGTGTCAGTGTCGAACTGAAGGCCAATGGCAATGTGGATCAAATTGCTTTCGAAGCGTGCCCGATCTCGAACGTTTGGATTCGGCTCGAGGCGACCCATGGAGAGAATGTGTTCGCAGAGAGCCATTTCTTGCGTGTTGTTGCTTCCACTATTGATTCTGCACGAAACCAAGACCTTCGAGGCGAAGTGAATTGCTTGAAGTTTTTCTTGAAGTTCCAGTGCGACAAATGACTGGGCAATCAAGCGGCAGAGCTCAAAACGGATCTTTTCAAAGGAGTCTGCGTCCATTTTGTGTATCCGAAGACCCGTTGATTCGGAGCTACTCTGTCCATTTTGTCGGGAGGCCCACTCACCAATAATCCACAGAGCCGACGCAAAGGCTTCGGGTGGGATACTGGCACAACCTTCCTTTTCCAATGGACTAACCTCCGCCTCTGATTCATCGTCGTCGTCAACGTTTCTGTCAGCGTTCTCCTCGATTTCGATTGCTTTGCTTCTAACCATCAAGGCATTCACTAGCAACACAATGAGTCTCCGCAGCGCCATACCCTGAATAAAATTAGGATCTTCCACCGCATAGACAGAATTGTCCGAACTCAGTTGTAACAAGATGCGTTGCATAACCATGACGCATTCACCGACCACCATAGAATGTTCCGAATCACAATGAGACAATACCACCAATCCCTGCAAACAGTTGAGAGCAATCGTATTGGCACTCCGTCGTTCCTCGGCCTTGTCACCCGATTTAGCGCCGTGTCGATCGTATACGATCCGCGCTAACTCCACGACGGTGCCTGCGGCTCGGACCGAAGCACAGGCAAAGTTTTTGTCTCCATGTCGGACATACGTTTTTAATTCTTCCAACACAGCTTCAATCGAGTTGGGTTCCAATGCCAATGCAGTCAGGATATCCAATTTGATCATTCGGGTAAAGGAAGGGTCCATTGCCTTTTGGTATTTGTTGAGGTTGCAGGTGGACGAAAGAGGACTTTGAGAATTGAAAATTGGCACAAACCAAAACCACGTAGCTAGAAACGCTCAGCATAATAATCTGACATTCCGTTGCTTACCATGACAAAAAAATCCTGCAGGAAAGGAGCAAATGCCGATGGACATTCATGGACCAGTGTTCGAATCGATGTCAATACGACGTATTGAATTTCTCTCCGATCCCTGTGAATTCGCACCAGCGCCTTTCCAATGGACGATCGAACCTTGATACTGGAGACACCACAATAATATTGTAGAGAACAGACGGACAAAACCACTCCAGAATTTCTGCTTTTCAAAAGCGGCATGGCCGATCGCAGCAGCAGTCGGTGATCTTCGTTTAGATCTTGATCTTCATCGGCATCTTCATTCATGGCAGCGACGGGCACCACACTGCCAGCAGCAGCAGCAACCGACGACGAGGAGAATCCCATGACATCTCGTTGTCGCATGACACCCGACAGGGACGGCCCGTCCGCGTATACATCTTCTTCTGTGGATTCATCTTCTTCATCGGAATAAAATCCCTTCTTGACGACCCGTCGCTTGACCTTTTTGGGCGAAATGGAATTGGGATGCGGTGGTAGTTTGTCGTGTTTAGCTTTTTTCTTGTCCTTCTTTTCGGATGCCACGAGCGCATCGAGTCCAGATCCGACCACATCGGTTTCATTGATAATGCCACTGAGCGTCCTTCGAACTCGTCTTTCTCGATCAATTTTTTCCGCCGTTCCTTCTCTCCAAGCGCGCGGTTCTCGAAAGAATTTGCGACAGTACCGCCCCATCGTATCAATGACGACCACTTGTCCCCATTCATCCATATCGGTCAATAAGTGACAGAGTTTGCGAAAACTGGTGTGTAGCAATTCCAACCGATGAGGACAGAGTTCTGTAAAGGCAATGACGCAAGACGTCAAGACCATGGTACTAGAATCATGATCCAACAAACTCTTCATGATTTCCAAGAGCATTTCGTGCAAATCTTTGTTGTTGGCTTCCAAACAGCGCGGACTGAGTTTGGCCAAAGCATTGGCGGCGCATTTTCGGACATACGGCGAACTGTCCTTGCTGCATTTTTGGACTCCCAAGATCTGAATTTGTAAAATATCCGGAATTCGAATACTGGTCAAGACCCGCAGTGCGAGTGCTCGAATGAGTTGCTCGGAATCGGCCAATCCGCGTTGAAAGGAATTGATACTCAGCAGCGAGAGTTCCCGCGTGGTGGAATCCTTATCGGCGTATTGGACCAAAAACATGTAGACCATTTTACGCACTTCCAACGACGATGCTCCCACAATTTTGACCACATGAGGGTAGAAATCCGACACGTCTCGGCCCTTGCTAATACTGGCCAGCAGCCATTTCATGCCCTTGAGAAGCTTGGGAGTCGAATGTGGATTGGACGGATCCGACGACGACAACTCGGCGCGAATTGTGTTGGGAGAAATATTCTCTTCCCAAAATTGAGCATCGCCCATCGTACTCAATGCCGATGCCAATTGAGCATTCAGCAACGAGGCGGGGTCTCCCGACGTCACGCTGGCGACGACTTGGCTCATCTTGATGGATGGATGTTAGCCGATGAAAGTAGTGCGCGGTAGTAGGATGTATGGATCTGGTTGCTTGAAGAAACTTTTGGAAAGATGAACGGAGGTTCTAGCATGAAACGTAGTTACCGGTACCACCACCATCAATAAGAGAGTTGACTGCCTGACTAGGATCAATAATGGAAGCCTCAACTAGCTAGATCTGGAAGAAAACAAGTGATGAAACAACAAACTGAAACAACAAGAAAGTGCCAAAGATCTTTCAGGACGTTCCAACCAGCGTCGGAATCCAGTCTGTGCGGTGTACGGTCCACTCATACGAGTGGGGGACCCCTGCATGGTTTTGCCTCGACTTCCCGAAACCAATGACCACGAGGGTTAGCGCGTCGAAGAATGTTTGGTGCGACGGTCTCCCAGGCAACGCCTCGAGAATCACACAAATCACTCCACACTACAAGAAAGACAGCAGACAGCGAGAGAGAGAACGTAGGAAAGTACTGGTACTTTACAACTCCAAGCAACGATCCTACCGGTATCCAGACAAGAGAGCAGCCGAGAGCAAGCAACACACTACTGAGTAGTTGCAGCAGCCAACCAACAACAATCGCGCTATGCCGTCCTCGCGAACTTCGGCCTGTCGTCGAGGAGCTGACAAGAGGGTGCTAGATGCGGATTTTGCTACTCGGACAACTATTGCAAGAATGTGTAATATACACATCCAAGAGCTTGCCCGACGTATTCTAATTGATGCAGTGAACCAGCAGATGGCAACGGCTGCCGGTTAGTGCTCGATGTTGTTGATTTATGCTGCTCTTTCAAGTCTCACACATTGTCGCATCGTGAAACCTTCTCTACCACAGCGAGTTCGTGGGCTGATGGTGAGTTCTTTCTGGAGTTGACCAATCTGCTCGCTCGCTCATACTCTCACGCATTGTCGTCATGACGTCTCCAAACACTCCGTCCAACTCCGTCCAACTGGGCGGTTCAACCTGTGCAGAAGCAAACCGTGCTGTGCTGAAATCCTACAATGCAATTGCGGCAGCCCTAGAAGCGCTTGTGGCAGCCATTCAGAAGCACTCTAGCAATGTATTCACTATTTATCGGAGCATCCGCAACCGAAAAGAGCCTATCGGCATGCACGATGACGCCACCAAAGAAGCAGGTCGTGCTGTATTTGTTATCCTACGTAACTGCGAAGCAGCCCTTCAAACCACTAAAGGCAATATCAAGGCCAATCAAGACGCCATCAACCATGTCAATCTACGAATCCGCTACTGGAGTATGTGCGACGTCACCTACAATCACGACAACAATTACGGAGGACACGTCGCGAGTGTTGCCGACCAACGGGCGGTGCTGGATTACATACATCGGCAACAAGCAGATCGCGAATGGCTTACGCGGGTTGGGAAATTTATAGTGGCACTTATGGGCCAGAGATGCGAGGATATCGACGACTTTGAGTATCGCTCCAACAATGCGCTGTGTATCTTCAATCGGCACATTACATTATTGAACCGCCATGAGCACTGGCTACGCATCGCGACTCGGAGTCTTGTCGAGCCATATGTGGTGTCGCTAGATCGTGAGACGTTTTCGGCCCTAAACACTTTTACCATTGGATTTGTGGCTCTTGCGGATGACTTTTCAGTTTCCCTTGAGCTTCACCACCGCCATGTCCGCAGGGTTCTCAATAGAATCCAGAACCGAAATCAGCGCTGGCGCATTGAAAACAATCTGCAGCGGCCTCCTCGGACTCCGGGACATGCCCAGGCGCCCCCAGGAACTCAACCCTCTTTCCAGGTGGTCTATTTCGGTGACACACCTGTCCTGGTGCGGATGTCCGCTCGTGAAGTCGGTCAGCGCGAAGCATCCACCCCCTCTGCGGGAAACACGACAAACGGACACGGACACGTCAATCCTGATGCCGCTGATCTTGTCTGAGGAGGCATCCATTCTTCAACTCAGGCAATCCTTTCTGTTTTTTGGATCAGCTGTGTTTTGGAACTAAAGCAACAAATTTGATGGGATGAATAGTGCGAAGAGAAAACATGCAAAAAAACGCTGCTCTAGCCAGCAACAAAGAAGATCAAATCAAACCAGAAGCTGTGGGTTCCTATTGTAGCAACTAAGTCATTTACCATTGCATTTTGAATATAAACATTTGCACAATCGAATCTGGCTTGCTACGGCATGTTATTATACAATTTGCAGTTCAACTGCGGGAAACAGGCTGTTGTTGAGATGACAATGTAGAATTCTAGATCCCAGTGCCATTGAGGCAACTAGTCTCCTCTATCCTCTAGTTCTACTAAGGCAAAGCTTCAATCAATTCAGCTAGATTAGAAGAAAACTATGAGCCATTCTGAACTTTTCCAATTCCATGAATGGTGGGGATCCAGTCCCTATTCCCCAGTCTTGATAGGGTCATCCTGGACTGGTTGACTCCCAACACACTCCTGCACATCCAAGGTGCCTTGCATCGCGGAGGTGTCACTCATGGGCATATTGAGGATCCAAGCTCGATGCTGTCGAAACTTCCCACCCTGCAACGGCTTCGTGAAGAAATCTCCTCTCATCTCGTTGGTGTTACAGTACTCGATAGACAGCTCGTTGTTTCCTATTCTGTCTGTCACAAAGTAGTACCTCACATTGATGTGTCGGGTCCTCCTTCCACTGGAGGCCCTGCCATTTTTTGCCAGTAGCATCGTGCTTTGGTTATCTTGGTACACGATATTGTCTCCCACCGAGTAGCCTTGTGCTTCCAGGAAGTATCGTGTCCACAGCACCATCGGCATAGCGTCGTCCACTCCTACCAACTCAGCCTCTGTTGAACTTTTCGTGTTGAGTTTTTGTCGAGTAGATGAGGAGTAGACGCTTCCTTTTCCCATTGACATAGTCCATCCGGTCTGACTGCGCATATCTTCGTGCACTGCGTAAGACGCATCCACCCACCATTTGATCACTGTCAAGTTGTCGGCTTCGAGGGTCAGGAACAGGTGTGGATTATCACGCAGGTATTTCATTACTCGCGATAGCTTCTTGTAGTCGTCCACATCAGGTCCTTTCACTCGTGTGGTCAGGAATGCGACTGCCTGCTGCAAGTCTGGTCTCGCTCTCTTGGACACAAAGAGCAGCTTGGCCACCATAGAATGAAAGTACTCTGCATCTGTTGTCCCCAATTGCATAGCTTTTGGGTCAATGTCGAATAGGTGATCTGCAGCCGGTGTAGCTGCCACTCCTGCCATGTCCTCTCGGGCCTCTTCCAGGATCTCATCGGCGTATTGGTCCATCTTGATCATGACTTTACCTTCCGTGCTGTAGTCAATGGTCATTCCAAGGTAGTCGTGTACCTTTCCACGGGTGACGGTGAGGGGTGCCTCTTTTCCGTATCTCGCATTCAGAGCATCGAGGATTCGGTCCACCACTGCCGAGTCCACGTGTGATATCTTGAGGTCATCAACGTGCCAGAGGATGGTGCATTGTTTGCCATCTATGACGGCGTTCGCGACACAGTCATCGTATGGATTCCTGACAAATCCTTCCCCTTCGAGGAACCCAACCAGATCTTTCCAGAACAGCAATGCCGCTTGTAGAGTCCCATACAACGCCTTTAATAGCTTCACATAGATGACAGGCTTTCCTTTCTCGTGCACGATGTATTTGTCATAGGCTTTGTTGTCGACCTTGGCCAATAGGAGCGCCAGTGGTCCTGTAAATCGAACATGGACATGCTCATCCATGTCTGCCTGCATGAAGGCTCCGGGTATATCTGCGGTAGCAACGTCTCTTTTCTCCGTTGCGTCGATCACACACGAGAGGAAGAGCGACTCGGTCATCACGGTTGGGGAACTAGTTTCGTGCTTGCTTTTGTATACGCGTTGCTTCCTTCCATCTGCACATCCGCGTCCTTTGATCTTCCCGCATCGTTTCTTCTTGAGGAACATGAGATACTCTAGTGATTTCCTTTTCTCTTCTTGCGTGAGCATGTTTCCTCTCACTGGTTCTCCCACTTTGCGATCGTGTAGCTGTTTCATCTCACTGATCACTGCTTCGGCTCCGGCATTACCAAACACCTTGAGGCCTTTGTTGATTGAGTATTGAGTGAGAGCCACATGTTCAAGAAGAAATTGGGTCATCACTGCCTCGGATGGAGTGCCAGGGTCGGCCATGTATTGTGCCATCGTATGGTCGCTTGGTTGTTGCAGATGAAGGTGTTTGTCGTATTTCCTTTGTTTTCTCTCCCTGAGCCCCGCTCTGGTTCTTGATCCATATGCTGCATCCATTTGTTCAGGCTGCACTCCTGTGATTTGCGCCGATCTCCTGGTTCGGTGTTGTGTCGACTCAGTCACTGAGTCCTCTTCGTCGTCCGTATTCTGCGGATCGTCCGCAACTTGCGGTTCATCTTCCTCGTCATGGTTGATTGGTGGGTCTTCCTCGTGTCCGAAACTGTCTTCATCAGTTCCGTCGGAGTCCCCTTGTTCGTCATCAGCGTCATCGCCGTCACTGTCGTGATCGTTTGATCCTTCTTGGATTGTTTCCAGGTGGCCGTCGTCGTTACTGCCTTCTTCCTCCGACGTGCCATCCTGATGGTTGTTGTTGCTTTCGTCTTCACTGCTTTCGTCTTCACTGCTGTCGAGAGCGTCCAGCTCCTCAGCATCGACTCCTCCCTCGACTTGGGATGGAATGTCGTCCTCTTGTTGTTGATCCTCCTCAGCCTCATCGGTTGGGTGGTAATCGGGATCAGCCATGGGATCATCTTCGTGTTCGTCCATGATCTCAGTGGCATCACGCCATCCGAATGTGAGACCGGCAGGAGACTTCTCCTGTTGTGCTAGTGCATGTACCCTAGCGATCACGTCTGTGGGCATTGGGAGTTCGGTCCAGCGCTTCCTGTGGATCCGATGTCCGGTCGTCAAGTTAAGAAAATAGTAGCTCCCTTGCGATCCATTCGAGGGCCGAAGTGCGATTGCTCCTATGGTTCTGGAACCCATTCCATTATCGTGTTCTTCGTGTGTCTGGACATAGGTGCCACACTCCAATCGACAGTGCGTCTTGTAGTCCACGTGTGTTCCTGTCACTAGGGTCCTTGGGCTGATTGTTGCCGATGCACTGTTCTGTGGTGGGAACATGTTTAACCACATCATGGCATTGGTTACCATTTCGATGATGAATCTTGATGTCAATTGCTTGAACGGCATGACGTTCCACATGGCTCTGACTCTTTCCTTGATGGTTCGGATGAAGCGTTCTATCTCAGGGACGTGCTCGTCTTCAGCCACTGTTTGCAGATCAATGTGTTTTGTCGAGTCGCTCTCCAACAGGACCGATCTCATTGGTTCGAACTCTCCATCGGCATGGATTTCCTTGAGCTTGAACCCCCGCCGAGTGTACAGTTGATTGACCTTTCGTATGCCGTCGGCGATGGTTGGTATCTGTCGGTTCGGTAGATGCTGTATGGTTCCGAACCGGATTCCATGTGATATCGTCACTAGGAAGGGTATTTTGTTGATGAACATGATATCCAGCGCTAGAGTCACTGCCTGGTATCGTTCCATGATCTGTGGTGGGATTGGCGTGACCATTCCGACCTCTACACCGGATGGATGCCTTACGGTCTTCCCTTTCAACGAACCAAGGTTTGGTCCGAATATGTCTTCAGCTGCCATTACGTCCATCCGATTGACTGGGCAGTTCGGTAGTAGGTTGTTGTCCAGTATCTTAAGATAGTCGCGGAGAGATGGTCGTCCTATCATATTTTGGATTTTACGAGCTAGTTCAGCTTTCCTGTAGGCGTTAACAGAGTAATTAGAACGTTTATCGGCTACAGTGTTGATCAGTGCCACGGCGATCTCATCACTCCTGTCTTTTGCATCGGTATCCGCCGTGGCCGCATCTGTTGTTGCTGTCGTTGTGGAGGCCCTTGCCTCAGAGTAAAACAGTCCATTGGGTGCTCGGATGAATTCTCTGTTACCAGAATCCTTGTGGACCGTGAAGACACCCGGCGAGTACGTGATTGGGTAGTGTTCCTCCACTCTTGCGAATGAGAGGATATTTGCCACCCCATCTTCAAAGAACCAAACTGGCTCCGGGTATCCTGGAAGGTCTCCGATCAGGTTTGTTGTCGCTAGCCCAGCGTTGCATTGAACCCTCATGCTGTTGTTGCTCCTGCGGATATTCTTGAGCAGCTTCCTGTTGCAGAAGATGTTGACCGTGCTGCAGTTGTCGAGTAGGATCCAGTGCCTTGGGATCCTGCGCTTCGCGTTGATCAACGCTATGTTCACGTGGAAGGAGAAGTCGGACAGCTCTCCATCCTCGTATGCGTCCATGAGCAACGTCACTCCATTCGCGTCGGTATCTGTTGTTGCGTTTCCTGGACACTTGTTCGCGTAGTGCCCGTGCCTGTGGCAGTTGTTGCACTCGATGTGTGCATACGTGCGGCCATTTGTTCCTGGCACGACTTCTTCGCCATCTGTGGCGAATGAGACTTCGCCGGTCATTGTTCCACCCATGTTGTTGGGCCTGGATCTGCTCTTGCAGTGGTATCCATCAAGTCTCGCATATGCGTCAGCAAGGGTCTTTGGGTAATTGTCGTCTCCTCGAGTGAATTCGTTCTCGAGGTCTATGAGGAGGTCAGAATACCTTCCTTGGTCAGAATTCGACAGGAACATTGTGGCCAGAGTCCATTCGCGGACGATCTTCATTGCCGCGTTGACCTCGTCGATTGTTGCTTGTTCCATGGTCGTTCCTGTGGGCAAAGCTGCCTGGAGGAGGCTCGTTTCGTATCCGAAGGATCCTCCATTGTGTTCGGTGGCCTCCACCTTCTGTTTGAATAGTCTGTAGTACTCCTCTGCTGACTTGTCCCCTTGTCGGAATGTCATGGCTCTCCTCTTGCTCTCTAGGATGGCTAGAGGTTGGTATTTTCGGGTCTGGAACTGTAGCATCACACTTCTGATCGCCTGTAGCAATCCAATCACATTGGCTGCCTGGTTGAGTGCCGCTAGGTCAACACTTGCCTCCACTTTGGCTCGTAGTGTATCACTGCATTGCCCCCAGATCAGTGAGAAAGCATTCTGCCTGTTCTCCTTTATCTTGTCAGTTCCTTTGACGTAGCTGGCCACTTCCTGTTTGAAGATAGCCAGGTCGACGGCGTCAGTTGATGGTGTTGTCCCATCTGGTTGCATGGGTAGGGTTGGCCTAGTCACGTTTTGTGCGGTGAGTGTTTCAATCTCTAACTTCGTGTGGTTGCCCTTTCCGTAGGTCCTTCCAACGAGCTCTGCAATCTCCATGATTGTATCATAAAACGCTGCTGCTGTAGCGGTTGGTGTGGTGAGGTCATAGACGTGCCCTTCAAGAGCTGCGGACTTCCCCGTGAACTTCTTTGTAGACGGTGCATGGGATGGCTGTCTTCTGCCACCAAAGCATCCACCTCTACCTCCTCTGCCACTCCTGCCACCACTGCGTCCTGCAGATGATGGAAGAGTGGTGATTCCTGACATACTGTCAGCGCCGCCCGCAGTGCTTCCACCTGCGGTAGCTCCACCTGCTCCGGACACTCCGGATCCAGCGGTGGAACTCATTGTCACCGATTACCGGTATCTACTTCTCTGTAGTTTTCTTCTAATGTTGAGATGACAATGTAGAATTCTAGATCCCAGTGCCATTGAGGCAACTAGTCTCCTCTATCCTCTAGTTCTACTAAGGCAAAGCTTCAATCAATTCAGCTAGATTAGAAGAAAACTATGAGCCATTCTGAACTTTTCCAATTCCATGAATGGTGGGGATCCAGTCCCTATTCCCCAGTCTTGATAGGGTCATCCTGGACTGGTTGACTCCCAACAGCTGTACAGTATCTGATATTCACCCACCATCTCACGTGGACTTGTGAAGCCTGCGGAGACAACACCACCAGCCCTCAACCTAGAAATTTCTCCGCAGTTGTCGTTGTTGATTATTCAGATCAAGTTCAAAGGATTGTACAGCAGTGTTCTGAACAGCAATTTATTACAGGAAGAAGCGTTGAGGTGATTATATTAGGGTGGTCAGGAAGGAATGGCGGTGGTATTGCAAAAAGGCTGCTGCCGAAGCGGTTCACCTCAGAATAAACCGAGTCAGTGACTTCGCGAAGGCCGCAATGTCATCACGACAAAGAAAGCCAAGTGCAACTCAATAGGAAGGCGGACCACCGTAGAAAAGAGGGGGAGAAGCCAGATTATTCTCATGGAGGAGGAAGAGTCACATTGATCCCGTCGAAGAATACTGATCCCGTCGAAAAATACCGCTGGTTGCATTGATGTTGAAGAACAAAAGCTGGCTCCCTTGCTGTCGGTCTTAGAAACTGGAGCAATCAAACCAAAATCCCGCTTGGACTAATGTTGTCGGATAAATCCATCAATTTGTGAATGACATCTCGTAGCAGCATCTGTTGCAGAAATCATCTTGTTACCATGGAAGCAAGATTCTTGCTGGACTCGACTCAGTGCTGCTGGAAGACCGTGTGTCCTCGTTGATCCGTCGCGTCTCATGAACTTGTCACGTCTCCGAATTCCGGAGGGCAGAAGAGTCCTCCATGGACTTGAATTGTGGGGGTAATTGTTTTGGAGGAGAAATACAAGAATGGCTCGTTCAGACACATGGGACTCTTTCTCCGTGCTTCATGGTCATAGCAGAGTGGGGTGGTAGTCTGAGTGGGGTTGTGGTGTACCGTACGGTATGGACTTGCACTGATAGCTGGATTGGAGGGCGAGGCAGTAGAAGGCTTCAACAGCTGCAGCGGAGTGTTTGCCTTGGCCGCGAATGGAGAAATGATGTTGACTTCTCTGTAACAGTGGGCCTTCTCCTCTCACAATGGGACGCTCCCAGGTTCCAGGGCATTTCCAGCCAAACCTTCCGATGCCATATTGTTGCGGTTGTTGTTGGTGGCTGTGGGTTGTCGGTTGTGGGTTGCGGGTGGGGAGTTGTTGATGAAGCTTTCATACATGTAGTCGATGATGCCATTGTACACAACTACATCTTCGTATTCATTGTAGATGAGGCACTTGAACTTGATCATCTCCTGGTGCTGCTGTGACGTGTCCTTGTGGCGGTTGACCCTTTCCAAGGATATTCGCTCGCACTCCCCTTCCCTTGCCAGCTGGAGGCAGACCCGTGGATGTTGGGTTTCCGTGTGGAGGAATGTGTGCTTGAGATTCAATAGTCTCCATCATGATTGGGCTCCCCTGGCTGCTGTCTGCTCCTTAGGTGCTTCATCCTCATCCACCATTCGACTTCAGGTTGTTTTGACAATGGTGGTTGTCCATTGGGCTGAGATCTTCAGGAGCATCTTCTTCCTGCTCCCCTGGTTCCAGAGATGGTGGGATGTCAAACGGACTGTGATTCATGTCTATGGTGCGGAGATGTGCACCATCCAGCTGCTTTGTCGTGTTTGGAGCTAACAGTGCTCGGGAATGGCTCCAGATTCGACATCCAACTTGAGATTGTTGATCCCTTCCTTCGCGAGGTGAACATGGGATCTGTGAATTATGTGCTTGGTACCGGTATTGTCGGTCAGAATTTTGAAGGTGGCTGAGAGCTGAGAGCATGTTCCATGTGCTTGGAAACCGTCGAATCGTCCTCAAACTTCTGCAGACTTCTGCTGTTCTCCTGGCATCTTGGAGAAATCCTTGTCAGCCAGGATAGTGCGGAACATAGATGACATCCCAAAACAGGAAGACAATGAGGATGCTGATGTTCTGAGTCTGGTAAGGACCTTGAGAGGAGAGTTCTCCATCCCAGGGACTTCTCTTGGGTAAGGTTCAAGACGTTGGCAATCCATTTCCAGGCATACCGGTAGCAGCCATGCTTCGGCGTTGACTTTTCTGTATGTAGTTACCTGGTGGCCAAGCAGTCAGGCACCTCAAACTTGTTTCTTCTTCATCCATGTGCACAATGGTGTCAAACTGCTATTGATGCAGTACTTTTCAAAATGACTCACAATCAGGTTTCACTCACAAATGTTGCCTTCACCATGGATAGACAATCGGCCCCTCCTGAAAAATTATCATACACGGTTGCGGAAAGATACCTTTTTTCGTTCGTTGGCTCTTCGCACAATTGTCTTCTTCTTCTGCTTTGCTTTGCCAACACTCTTCTGTTGCCGATGTGTAGCGGTACGACGACCGATGGCTTGTCTCGAAGCCTCAGACCAGTGGAAACCTGCCACCGCTACAGTCGTACCTGGTACCAGGTACTAGCTAGTACAGTACAGTCAACGTTCGCTTATATTTATAATCTTGTATTTATTCGCTCTATAATATTTAAGAATACTCCAGTTCCCACATTTTTAACTCTAACCCTATTTTAGTACTAGAGCACGTACAATTCTACGGGAATAGTTAGGGTTAGGGATAAAATCAATATTTATTCTCGCTGTTATATTTACTGAATTCCTAAATCCCCCCCAGTATATATATCTGAATGTTGACTGTACAGTACTGTAACTACGGGCAGCTACAAAACCAATGACCACAAGGGTTAGCGTTTAATTCGGAACTCCAAGGAACTCCCAAGAAGAAATTTGAATTCCAGGAGTGATGGAGCCGTTGTGCGTCTGAATTCAGGTAGAAAAGGAACTGAAGCAAGACATTTTCTGTCTCGACGACTCGGTATATAGGCGGCGCGAGCGTCCCCGGCCGGCCAGAAGCCATTCGAGCTGGGATATGGGGCCCAGTGAGAGTCCAAAAGCAAAACAATGTAAATAACAAATTCGACTCACCAGGAGCTAAAAAAGTAAACTAACAAATAACGAAAGGCAATGAGGTGAGAGGCGCATATGGAATTTGCGTACAACCAGTGCAGGGATGGATCAAGCTTGTAGCCCTCCTCAACATCTATATGAGCGGAAGTCAGTAGCTGCCTTGGTTGTAGAGTAGTGCGCGTAAAACAATAAGGTGCTTTCTGGTACTGTAGAAAATTGTATGGGGCATCTAACTGCTGTTTGGAAGGGCCTCAAAAAGAGTGGAATAAAGGTGCTGCTAGAACGTCGCAGCTGCAAGGCTTGGTGCCAAAACGATTGAGAGTTAAGCAGATGTATACCTACTCCAGCTATCTGTAGCTGCTCAAGCTGGGGGTGAACTGTGTATTGCAAATTCAATTGCAAAACGTTGTTTTGTTGACTGTTGGCAGTCGTTATTTTACTGTTGTACTGGGACTTTAAATAAATTTTTTCTAAAATAAAAAGCAAAAAGAATTCATTTTAATGTAAAAATATGATGTTTTTGACTTTTTACCAAACATATTTATACAGCTACATTGCACGACAACATCACGCGACTCTTTAAAAATTATTGATAATCTAACACATAAGAACATAGCTCTAACAATCAGATCACAGCTCTGACCCACAAAATATAGTTCTAATAGTGAAAATGTAGCTCTATTCGCGAAAAATGTAACTATAATGCAATGATGTATACTTCTATCATCCAAAATATAGCTTGGCAGCTAAATTCATGGCATAATACAGACAAAGTTCCACGTATGACACGACAATAAATGCATTTCACATACAACAAAAAGCTAACATACATTGGAATAGTTCTGTGAGCGTCTCACAGCACAGAAATCTACAAGTTCTAATATGTTACAACAACAAATCTAAAAACATGATAATGTAGTCCTAACACACAAACGCCAAAATGTAGTAGACTCTTTAAGTACCAAACTGATCAGAAACTCTGACAGCATGCGAAAAGTAGTTCTATACACCCTTGACACAAAGACAAATTGCACATGATATAGTACTTCAAAAGCTAAAACGCGCGAAAGTTAGCTCTCTACTCGTGTAATATCATAACAAAGATAATGTATTTCACATGATAATAAAGCTACTAAAACACACGAGAATAGTTCTCTCACATGTGTACTAAGAAGAGACTCATAGAATACAACAACAAAGTAAAATACTCATCAGAATGTATTAGTCAAAACTGACATGCGAGAGCGGCATTAATACTACACAAGGAAGCTACTCTAAAACCAAAATGTAGCTCTGTCTGATATAGAACAACTAAAACGCGAGAAAAAGTATTTTTCATGCATCTAATACACAGCATATGAAAAGTAGCTCTGCAACGCGTGTGTGTGACATTTAGAAAGAGAACTGAAATTTGCATAAAAACAATCTAAAATGCCAAGAATATAATCTAACTGCAAAAGCAGAAAAGTAAGACATAGCTCTAATGCGCGAAAACAAGCAAAAATTCAGCTCTAACACACAAAAGTCTAGCTCTAATATGAAAAATGTAATTCTATCACGCGACATTGAAGTCAGTTTGCATTACATAATACGAGCAATCTAAAATATGCAAGAATATACTCTTGCTCTTGCACAAAGTGTGATACGACAACCAATGTATTTCACAAGACAATAAAGCAAAAATACGCGACGAGAATATATTCTCTTACGTGTGTGCCAAAAAGAGATCTCGCTGACATAGAATGTTTTGCTTAACAACAAAGTTGAAATATGCGAGTATGTATTTCAAAAACATAAGAGTCGAGCTGTAACAAGCAAGAATCTAACTCAAACACGCGAAAATCTAACTCAAACGCGCGAGAATCTAGCTCTAACACGCGAGAATCTAGCTCTCATACATAAGAATTAGCTCTGTATTATGCGACAATGAGCTGCATGAATACGAATACAACTATATACGCGAAATTTAAGATAACTTTGCAATTCCATATGACATAAAATTACATTCGTGATAAAGTTACGCTGTGTGGCCAATTAGCAACATTACGCGAAATTTTGCACAAATTTTACACATTTTGCACAAATTTTGCACGAATTTTTGCACGACATTTTGCACGACATTTTGCACGACATTTTGCCCGACATTTTTGCACGACGACATTTTACGCGACATTTTACGCAGACATTTTTACACGACATTTTTACGCGACTTTTGACGCGACTTGTTACGCGACTTTGTTGACGCGACTTGTTTACACGACATTTTTGCGACTCTTACGACATTTACGCGACATTTTACGCGACATTTTACCGACTTTTTTACACGACATTCTTTTTTACATGACATTAATTTTTGCACGACTTTTTTGCATGACGTTTAAGAGAATACTCACAATGATGTATTTCATTAATTTAATTAGACAACTTAGCCAGTGGGTATTGGGGTCCCCTTTGGGGTATACCCACTGGCGACATGAATGATTTTAATAGATCATTAAATTGTTTTTTAGTTTCTCAATTAAAAATATTAAAAATTGAGCAAAATTAAAGGATTTATCCTTTTTTATTTTATAGTATTTTAATATTTCTGAATAATATTAGTTTGTAGAAAAAATTGTGTATATAACAGAAAAATATTTTAATATTAATAAATTTATTGTATTATAATAATATTTATTTTATATATTTATATATTTTGTTACTTTTACTAGTTTAATTAGTTTTATTGCCAATAATTACTGAATCATTGTTAAAAACAGATAACTTGCAGCTGTTTTCTGAAGCCACACTTTAGATTATAGGAATTGCATTTGAGTCTGACATTGTTTTGGATTCGGGCACTGTTAAAATAGACAATGGTTGTAGCAGAGCTAGTAGCAGTGCTGATGATGGCAGCAACGAGGAGGGTCATCACGAGGCGACCCATGTCCCTTAACTTCATATGTTGACTTTTATTAATATTTCCCTGGCTGTGTGGGGTCAAATCTCTCTGCCCCATGTTAATGTTATCAGTTTAGGGCACCCGGTAGCAGCACAGTAGACAAGTGGTCCGCCAAATTGATTCTATTCAAAAATTGCATACGGTACGTGTTCCCTGTTTTCTTGTGTTCCCGCGCGTCCTTGACTCGACTCTCGTCGCCTCACAAACCAAGGTTCTCGCGTGAGGAAAACACCCTTCACATTTCTCTCCAACAGGTCTTCGACAGTCTTCCAAGGCATGAACAACAGCACTTCTGACGAGGAAAAGAAGAAGAAGAAGAGAGAAGCGAACAAAAAATACAACGCGGAGCAAAGAGCCGATCCGGCCAAGAGTGTCTCATTGACCGAACGAAAACGGGAAGAGAAACGGCGACAACGTGCTCGCAAAGCAGCACAGAACCCAATGGATCGTAGTGCTAGAACTCCCGGTCGACAAGGCCGCAACCTACAGCGACAACAGACCGGTCGTGTTGGGGCTCCAGGAACTCCGTCCAGCCGGGCGCAGCTGCATGCTGATTTTAAATCGAGCTTTGATAACATTACGAATATGATGAATGATTACTCGGGTCGCTTGTTTGAATATTACGCTGGCGCACTCAATGAAGAGGAAAACGATGAGATGTCCGGGGTCGGCCCAGGAGAGGACGTTCCTTTTGATGAGGACATTGAGCCACAACCAGATGAGGAGGACATTGATCCTGATTCCATGGATGAAGAAGAGGAAGAGACGTCAGCAACGGCAGGCGATGGTGAGTTCTCTCTGGCATTGTTTGGTCTTCTCACTCATTCACTTCATTGTCTCACACATTGTCACCGTCTCTACTACCAGATACCGCCAACAACTTGAACGAGGCTCGTGGTGAGTTCTCTACGGCTTGCCAGCCGTCGCCCAACGGCTGGCGGTGGCGAGTACTCTACGGCATTGGTTTGTCTTGCTCACTCGTCGTGCAGTACATTGTCTCACACATTGATACCGTCTCTACCACAGCGAGCTACACGCATCAAGGTGCGACTGGTGGTGAGTTCTCTTCGGCTCGTGGTGGCGAGTTCTCGACGGCATTGGTTTGTCTGCTCACTCATTCACTACATTGTCTCACTCATCGTCGCCGTCTCTGCCACAGCGAACTACGCGCCTCCTGGTGCGACTGGTGGTGAGTAGTCTTCGGCTCGTGGTGGCGAGTTCTCGACGGCATTGTTTTGTCTGCGCACTCGTGCAGTACATTGTCTCACACATTGTCACCGTCTTACCACAGTGAACCAGCAGCCGACAACGGCTGGATTTGGCAGTGGCCATGCACGTCGTGACCAATATCCGCTCGGCTGGGACAGTCCGGATGGCGTTAACAAGGGTGGCGCCCAGTCCTTTTCACCACCCACCCGGGAAATGTTCGACGCTCCCATTGAGCAGCCGAATAGCTTTGGTGGTCCTAACCACTCTCAGGGTCAGGGAAACTTCGGTGGTCGTAACCATGGCCAGCGAGCCAGCAAGAAAAAAGCGCCAATGTCGTTCCCGGGGCCCCAAGGTACCCAAAACACGGCATCCTTTGCTTATGGCCAGCAGGGAGCGAATACATCCAGCATGTTTCCTCCTTTTGGTGGTCCCAGCCGCGGCCCGGCACAGCCCTCCCAGCCAAAGTTTGCGTTTGGTGCCGCTACGCCCGACAAGGGGGGGGCTGCTGGAGGCGCGCCTCGCTATTCCTTGGATGACTCCCTCTAAACATTCAATGAACCGGAGACGCCATTGGACAGCTCCCACTAAATCAAAGTGAACCATTTACACCGGAGACGCCACTGGAGGCGACAGCTCCCACAACCTTTTACGCCCCCGGAGGCGAATCAAGGCATTCCCGGATGCTAATTCATCATCTATATATTGGCCTTTTTCTGACACCTCAAGCAATGGTGCAGTTTCATTGAAGACATTGGTACCGTAGCAGCCAACTCATTTGGCATTGCACGTAGAATAACCTAAAACAATAAGCATTTACGCAATTCAATCATTCATTTGCACTGCATCTCAACTTCCTGCATCCATAGTGCATTCCCAGGGAGTCTTCCTCGACTCCCAGCCACCGCCTCAGCCGTCCGCACTCCGGATGACATGGGCAGTTCACTAGGACTATTTAGGGACGACTAAATACACCTGTGTGTGCAGTGTCGAAACGATAGTGCTAGAGTTTGGGAAACGGTGCTATCTAGTGCACCAATCCAAACCGTTGGGATCCAAAACCGTTGGAAGGTGCAATCTGGTGCACTAGCCAAAACCGTTGGAAACGACATTGAACTGAGTAGCCCCTTAAAAAGAAAAGGACGCCATTGTCCTCTTCGATTGGTGGCTGCTAGCAATGTGGCTTGGATTGCTCCTACCGACTGATCAGTTCCCTTGAAAACCCTAACTCTATCTACGGTGACGTACCAGTCCAGGCAGGAGCAAGTGTGCTTCCACATTGCTCTGCTTAGAGTCATGGCGATAGGAGTCTTCCTCGACTCCCAGCCACCGCCTCAGCCGTCGCACTCCGGATGACATGGACAGTTCACTAGGACTATTTAGGACGACTAATACACCTGTGTGTGCAGTGTCGAAACGATAGTGCTAGAGTTTGGGAAACGGTGCTATCTAGTGAACCAATCCAAAACCGTTGGGATCCAAAACGTTGGAAGGTGCAATCTGTGCACCTAGCCAAAACCGTTGGAAACCGACATTGACTGAGTAGCCCATGTCCAGCTGACGAAGCAGCGTGTCGTAGACACAGCTGCCGGAAGCCCATGTCAACTGAGTCAGCGGACGGCTGGAGTGGGAGAAAACCACCTACTCTAGAGGGGAAAACCCACGGAGGCAAAGCTTTGCAAACGAAAAGGGAATATTGCAGAGCTATTTGTTTAGACCACTGCAATAGCAGTGGGGGGATGATTGCCAGCGAACGACATAAGGTCAGGCATAGAGTCGCCAGGAGCAAATGTCTTCGGGCGCAGAATATCGGCGTGCGACGAGCCAGGCCCAGAGTATTCGCAAGTAATCACATAAAGGCGTTGGATTTCCAGCGCAAGAGCCATTGGATTTGGATTTTGTTGTAACCGGCTTCGAAGAGAAGCACGCAAGCGCCACTCGGAGAGAGTGGGAACTCCAACGACGAAGTTTCGTCTTATCTTTGCTCGGGGAAAACACAAACTGAGATGCAGCAATGGCAAGCATAGACTTGAGGATAGCTGGGGATGAACTGAATGGAATGGCCGTATCGATTGTAGACAAATACCGACAAAGGGGTTTTCACATCCTCAAGGCTTCGAAGACGGATAAAGCGCCGCAGGATTCGAAACATGGCGCAGACCATACAGAGGTGGGGGTACCCGAACAAAGCAACAAAGAGTCGCCATTGCCCATTCTCTCATTCTTCTGCTGGCGGAAGCAAAGCCAAAGTTCAGCCACCATTGACACGTCAATGGGGTTGTCAGCAGTACCAAGAATAGCGGCACCTTCCAGGATGTGCCGTTGTAAAGCTTTACTTGGACATCACCCAAGCAGAAAGCGTAAGGATCACCATAGATGTTCCGATAGGGGAAATCAGGATCAATGTGGGTCGATTCGGGCTGAGCCACTCAACCTTTCGGAGTCCAGCACGAAGAGCAACAACATACCAATCGGCCAAGACTTCGTCAATGTGGTCAGACCAAGGAGCTACCTTGGCGCGCGCAATAGCATCGTACAACATTGGGAGCGTGAAAGCTTCGCGCCGCTGGATGGCCTTCTCATACTTGTCGATATTATCGTAAATCGATTTCAAATGATGGCCCATGGATTCCGAGAAATGAGAGTCTTTGCGGTAGTCGCAAAAAGTCTGGGATGCCTTCAGGAGAAGGGCAGCTGCATTACGGATGTAGGTTTTGATAGTACTCCCTTGATGCGCCGACAATACAAACTGCCATCTGACCAGAGGTGCTCGGCATACATACACAAAGCCAGCTGGATGGCTTCGGGAATCGGCATCTTTGATCTCCAAAATTGGAGGGAGAATCGGAACTGGAGTTGTCCATCTAATCATAAGCGAACCCGAGGAAATGCAATTGGTGCGGAACGAGCTGTCCCAGCTCGCTTGAAGACTTGGTCCCTCCATTGGAGATCTGGAGAATAGACTCCAAGAGAGGAGCTGTAGCAAGGCGTGACTTGGGCGGAAAGAAATCCAGCTTTCGCATGAAGCTGAACTTCTGGTACAGCTGCTCAGCCCGTCACGATGAGAGAGGTCAAAAATGGGGGGACGTGAGATAAAATAGGCCAGAATATTTTCAACACCGGCAATATGCTGGGCAGTGATACTGATGCCAGATGTTCGCAACAATTCACAGTAGACGCCAAGCAAACGCTGACACCTGGGGGACTTGGTGGTGGCACAATTCGCCCAAGAAACATACGACTTGTTGTCGGACCAAGACAACACCACCTGGGATTTCGGGCTCCCCGTAAGGAAAAGTTCTGCTTTCTCCTCGGGAGAGAGAGAACGGAGGGAACGATGGAGCCGGCTAGTTCCAGAATGATCGTCAAGACTCCAACTGATTGATGCGGATGAAGTTGGGCGAAGAGGGGTCCAGCTTCAGGCATCGACGAACACGGTCACTCCAACAATGTCAAACCAGAACTTGAGTTTGGGGGCTGTAACCACCAGCGCCATATTCACTGGCATCGCCCCAGGCGATAGCGTGGGGTCTCTGGGAATGATGGTTCCAGATCTTGGCCTCAAACGGAATAGGATCCGACTCAAGTAATGGAGAATGTTGGACAAGGAACTGCGAAGGTACGAATCGACCGTTTGGGTGCCTTTGTTGCGCCAAATCAGAAGGGCTTTCTCCCGTGCCAGGATGTTTTTGACACGTTTCCAGAGAGCCTCAGGTAGCTCTGGCATGCAAGTCGGCTGCCTTCTGCTTGCCAATTCGTTCCCAGGTTTTGCGCTGGGTGAAATAGAGGCGCTGCAACAAGGTACGCATCCGATTCTGGAGAGGCAAAGAACCAAGGGCGTGCCACACCACATTAGCGTGTGTGATTTTCCAACACGCCTAGGAGTTCAGCACCCTCGAGCAATGAGAACCGGTCCTTCTGGAGCCAATCCTCGAGGCGGGAAATTAGCTCGGTTTTCTTGTGCTCCAACATGGAGATAGACAATCGCCGGTGTTCCAATGGCGGCCAACGATCTGGCGCAAATGGCCATGGAGGGGTATCCACTTCTCCAAACTCAATGGGTTGCTGATGTCAGGGGAGGGCTCACCGAGAATCTTGTAAAGGCTAACGACGCTGCATGCAATCGTGCGCTCCATAGTAGCCCTCACATCAGCTTTAGCGCAATCATCAACATGAGTGAAGGAAAGGATTGAGGAGACGATTACCAATCGCTGC